GGAGAGCGGATGAGAGGGGTCATCTTTAACTGTAATTGCAGGATAAATAATATGTTGCTCTGTTGGACGTGTCCAAGGATAATTCATGTACTAATCTGTCGCACCTTACATACATTTTTAAAATTATATAGCCATCAGGTCAGATGAGTACAAAATATCTTGTACAAGTGTAACGTACCGTCACTAAAGCAAAACATGGCACAAGAAAACAGGAGATCTCATACAATGTAAAAATATCTAAACGAATTTTCTGATATTGCGACTTTGAACTTTGATTCTCCTTTATTAATCTAATTGTTTGATTTCTCCCCTCCCCCTCGTGATGTATCTGGACTCCCTCTCCTTGAACACATACAAATGCTTTCTTTCCATAACAGAATTCATCTTTGAAAAACCTTTATCACCAGATGCATTTGATCCAGAATTGCTTTTCCATTGCTGAAACATATTGTCCACTTTGTGGGCGCAGGATGATATAAAATGCCCTCATACCGGCTAAGTTGAAATAGAACAAAATAGGCAGCAGTCTATAAAAATGAAGTTAGGAGTAAAGTGTGCCACTCACATCTTTGAAAAATCCATTCTTGCTGTATTCCGTAGTCATCAATTGGTCTGAGCAACTCTCTCTAATGCATGTAATGGAGCTACACTCTTCCTTTCATCTTTTAGAAGGTTAGCTACAAGGAGAAACATCTGGGATGACGAAGAATGCATGGCAGACATGAAAGAAATGAATGTCTGTCTTAAACTAAAGGGATAAATTTGCGTGTGGCTAACTCAAATTAAGCAAATACTTACATTGAATGCATTTTAATGGAATCAGCGCCATTCGTGATTCACCCAACATGCTCGGGTTCTTGCAATTCATGCCGTAATACACTTTGATTATTTAAGTCAGTTGATTTTGTAATAATAATGGAAAATGTAATAACAAACATGTTTGCACAAAACCAATTCGAATCAAAACTGGCCAGAGCTGAAAGCATAATTGAACAAGAGAGGAGTACGTTCATTTAAAAAATTCACACACGTTTTCCAGGCATGGTTAAATCCTGAAAGCACTCTGATACAAACGCTCAAAACAGTCTTTAGTGACTCCGTGTTTCTCTGTGAAAGTATACGTTGTCCATCAAAGGGTTAAAGAAGAATCAATAGCACGTTAATTTAACAGAACGCAAAGGAAGGGGAGCAGGAGTCTGACTAATCTCACAATAGTGATCTAATTATGATGCTCATAACAGGTAAGAACGCAACACTAACACTTTTTTACATATCTGACAGACAAATACACATACTGTACAGTCCATACAAAAATAACATATGGGGTTCTGGAACATCACTTTCTGGCTTCTGAACTAGGAGTTCTAGTGGGAGACAGATTAGGAGATCCATAGACAGCAATATTCATCCCTGGATCGGCCAGGAGTGTCTAGAAATTAATTATGTCCTTTTCCATAAATTGTCCCGAAGAAATCCTGCCCTCAAACTTGAGCAGCTCACAAAATCCATCAGATATATTGTGTGGTTTTCCACTGACACACTGAGCTGTGAACATGCCCTCCAGTCAACAGGTCCTTCCTGGTGCCTTAGAAGAATATTTTCTAATCCACTGCCATGAACATCAGGCTTGTACTACCGAAGAACCTAATAACTTTCATATAGTCACCATTAACAGAGGGAAAAGGACAGTTATTTTGCTATTTAAGAGCTGAAACACATCAGCCCCCTCTCTTGCTTAGACAGCAATAATTAAATAGTTTGGTAATAGTGCATGATAAAAAGCATATTGGAAATAACTACAGTCACACAGCCATAAAAATTGTACTTCATACCTCTAGGCATGAATATACTTAAAGAATTTGCCTGACACGCATCGTGTAATGCTTATTTTCATCTGTTTTTTTGATTAATAGAATAAACAGAATGGAGAGATATGTGTACTGCTTGCTTTTTAAGGCAATATGTCTTTTAAAAATCCAAGCACCTGAAGAAACCAATCGCTTCTCTTTATGCATACTGTATGCATAGGTCTGGTTTTAGGGAAGTATAGGAATTATGGAATTAACTTAATTCTCCTGAAGATCCTGTGATTAATTAGAACTGACAAATGCGATACATCTGAGTGACTATGCTGTTGCATATGCACTAACCCACGACATTAGTGAGAGAATTAATTGGGCATACCGACAAGGCAATGAGGTGATTTAGCTTGTTAAATGTCCTGCCGGGTGAAAATCCAGGAAGAATTTCCGAATGGAACAAATATGCACCATTTATCAAGAGAACTGCACCTTCATGTCATCAGTAAGTAACTGCGGTGACCAAATCATGTCAGGGGGACTTGGCGGTAGTACAGCCACATCCTCTGTAACAACAGCCTAATTGATGGGTTGGGCCGAGTGTGACAGTCTGGGCGGGAGTATCTCCTCACTTCAGAACTAGAAGCGATCGGTGCCAACCACACTGCATGGTGCTGTTGATCACATCTCGGCTCCTCATGGGCTGCCCTGTGCGCTGCCTCATCCTGACTCAGCCTTCTTGTGAGATAAGAACTGAACTGGCCAGAAGGGGAGCCCTGTTGAACATCTGTATGATGGACTGCTAGGCTGTGTGGCTTCTAGGGCTCAGAAACCTGTGTGCTTCTCCAGGATCTGCAGGAGGAACGGCACAGGATCAGCATCAGCAGAGAACATCTGCAGCAGGAGCAAAGGAGGCATCACAGATGTGCTGCTTGAAACGCCTCCAACACACAATGGCAGCACATGCTGCTAGCCAGCGACTTTCACAGTACTCCTCCTGTTGAGGACAAATGTTCATCAGCATAATTAATGTAATGTAATCTCTGTTCAATAAAATGTCTGTGCACCTGCTAACTTTGTGAATGTATTGCGGTTGTAAGGTTATTTTCCAGTTCCACAGCCCTTATATCCCCTTCTCCAGTGTGTTTTTAAATCTTTACTTAATAATAAAGTCTTAATTTAAAAAATGAAGGACATCGCATGTAAGTCTGTAAAGGGCTAAGTATTGCTGTTTTTACCGAGAAGAAAAAAGGAAGAAACTAAGATTCCAAATTTTAAATGTGTTGTAGAACCAATAAAAATAACGTAAAGCATGGGAAATTCACTTAGACCAGCTAGACTTTACTGCAGAACACAAATGGAGAGTTCTGAAACCTTCCTTTGAAATTTGAAGATGCTCTAAGTGTGATAAACAAATTCATAGAAAACCAGACTGCTTTACTATAAATATAGTAAGCACCTACAGTAGTTCATTCTTCATTTGCATTTTTTTCTAGTAAGCAGTTCATTTTAGTTTAGACTCTAAGACATCTGCTTTCAATTATGGGTGTTATCAAAACACAGCAAAGTGCACATAATCTAACTAATTTGTTGCTAATTTATACAATTAATGGCAGGTCCTTATTATGGGTAGTATGCAGGCAAATCCATTCTCTCTGTCTTCGGGCAGTTAATATTTATTCATGCGTACAATTTTGAAATTAAAAGAAGGATAGTAAATTACCAATATTATTAGCATTTATTGCATGAAAGTGCTGTTTACAATGTTAAAATATATTTTAAAACAGATAATCAGAAACCATTTTATCTCCTGTTGGTTGTGATGATTTCTATTGCACGTTTGACTAAAACAAATGTTATTGCTATTTTTTCCTCCCCATATTCCTTATTTAGATACTTCTGTGGCAAGTAATTTCACCTGCAAACTACAGCTACTGTTTTCCTCAGGGTCTTTTTGCTTAACATTCAGAATTTACTGTACAGGATTCAGAATTTTTTTTTTAAACAAGCAGAACAATGCTTCTTCTCTTTGAGTCTCACTGTTGCTCTGTTTCACTCATCATCTATCTGCCTCAGATAATACTATTTAATTTAACTACTGTATTTTCATGCGACAGAAAAGCTAAAAGGTATCCATTCACTTTACCACTTGGCAAAAGTTTTTTTTTTATTTTACTCAGCTGTTTCTACTTCTGACTACTTTAGACTTCAAGCCTCCCTCTGGAACGCCGCCCTGCTATTCTCTGCAAGAATTATTCAATGTGAATCAAAAGAGGAAACCGAGTCACTCTCCAGTCTTTTAAGAGTTTCATTTGAAGCTACTGTACACACTGCCATTGCAGAAGATATCCACCCACCCATTTTCTAACGGCTTTTTCCAATTCAGTGTCCCAGGAGAGCCGGAGTCTATCCCAGCAAGCAACAGGCTCAAGGCAGGATACACCCTGGATGGGACGCCAGTCCATCACAGGGCACACAGACACCCACACACTCATATCTGGACCAATTTTCTCAAATGCCAATTAGCCTACCAGTATGTCTGTTGACTGTGGGAGGAAACCAGATCACCTGGAAGAAATTCACATGAACACGGGGAGAACATACAAACTCCATGCAGATAGCACCCCAGGTCTGAAACTGAACACAGGGCCCCATTTATAAAAGTATATGATATATACAGATTAAAGTGTGGCATTTTTATATAGGTGACAAAGTGATATTGTACCTGCTTAGCACTGAGTTCTAAAAAGGTGCCATGGTCTACAATTAATTGTGCTTACTGTACATTGCGTATTTTTCATTTGGGATAAGGTGTTAAATTTACCTCAAACAATTAGGATAGGGAAGTTAAAACACCTGAGCCTGATATTGTTATTGCGTTGTTTAAACAGAAATAAGAGCAGGTGATGCAAAAACCGGTCAACATTTTGAACTGTTCCAAAAAACTGAAGAGAGAAACATTTTTGTATTTTGGATTCCCAATAACCTAACATTAAAACTTCACCGGCTCCAGCAGAGGCTCCAATTTAACGCATCGCCTGACCTGACTAAAGAGATGTTAGTACTGATCTGAATCAAAGCGCCCTGTCATCACTTCGCTCAAACTTGCAAGCTCTAAATATTTTTGTTTTTTCAGCAGATTCCCAAACTACAACACTAGTGCAACCTGATTGGTTGCCACTCTCTCTCTGCCATTGTCTCTCTCCTGCACTAGCTCTTTCTGTGTCTCGTGCAACACACACCACTGGCCGTAGTTGCTGGAATCTGCCTTTATTGGCATTATAAGGACTTTGTGTATTTTATTAGGCCATTTTAATACGGAATTATTTAATCTTCCTAGAAGGGATCAGAAAAGGTATGTTGTGTTTAATCTGAACTCTCTGATACACCTGTTTTTATTTAAATATACTATGATAAATCAGCAGTGACTAAAAGTTTTTAAAGCCTTTTTGGTGAAATCTATAATATGTGGATTTGCATCATAAGGTGGCAGTACTTTTATATGCAGCAAACCTTTTTTTTAATTGCATTTATTAAAGCAATTTGACAGCACTTAAACTGTCTGCAAAGAAAGTTCTTATCTTTTTTGTTACGTTTTAATAGCAAACTAAATATAAAATATGATTCAATATAATTTAACGTTTCTTTATATTTGTGTAAGTTTTCTCCCCATCTTACCTGACAAAAAGTATTATTACAATACTAGAGTTTCGTGGAAAGATACATTTGTCCATCTAAAATGTATTTTACACTGAAATACACTTATCAGATTTGAGATTTTATTCGATTTTACATCTAAATACACTTATCAGTCTAAAGATAGATTCATCAACATCTATCTCGTTTGTTTGCTTCCTAAGATATGTGAATTGTTTAAACGCTAAAGAGAAGGGTAATTTTGAGCTTTGAAAAACAAAGACAGGGGATGTCAAAGAACCAGGTTATGGATGATTTGTTTCATGTGTCATGACTCAGTTCACTTACAAGAACACACAACAATAAACAGAATGTGTTTCTGTCTGTCATATATCTTTCTTCATTACTCTGTTACGCTTATTTTGCTGACAGTTGGGTAAGTACTTTCTTGGGACTGGATTAAACAAATAAGAAACACCCTGCATTTCAAACGCTTTGCATGTTCATAAAGCCAGTTAGATTTACAACATTCACCAAATAGTAATTTCTTACTGAAGAAATGTATGCATCCATATTCTAATCCACTTATCCAGTGCTCATTAAGGAAGCCGGAACCTAACGAGGGAAATAGCGAGAGCAAGCCAGGGTACACCAGTCCATAGCTGGGCACACACAGACACAGGCACACACACTCACACCAGGCTCGCTTTTCCCCAAAGCCAATTAACCTGCCAGTATGCTTTTGGACTGAGGGAGGAAACTGGAGCACATGGAGGAAATGCACACGAACACAGGGAGACCATGCAAACTCCACCCAGATAGAGTTCCAGGTCCAGAATCAAACCCAGGGCCCTGGCGCTGCGAGGCAGCACCGCCCCACCCTCAAAGAAGATTATACATTGTTCAGGTGCAGTGGAAATTAAAAAACAACAGATGAAGAGGCATGAAGGAGACATAAATGTCTTTTAAATCAGTCGACGAGACCCTCAAGAACAGGAATTTACAGCAAGCGATTGGGAGGAAGAGCAGCTGTCCAATCCAGCACTTGCCTCTTCCTCCTCCACATAACTAAGAGACAGGACTTCCCTTCCCAGCGAACTCCTCTGTGCCCCCGTCTCCCCATCGGTCCTGCTGCCCTCTCCTCACGACTGGGCTGCCACCCCTCTCCCCCAGCGGGACCTAGTCTGCCATCAGCTGAACAACCCACAGTGAGCACCAAGCTTGAGCCTGCTTTGCCCGAACCTTAACGGCAAACAGTCACGGGCTCGGTCTTGGGTTCCGACACGGGAAGATAGCATCACCACCTGCTGGTCGTCACAAAAATAAACACCATGGCATGATGGGACACTGCAATCACCTGGAAATAAAATTAAAATACTGAGAATAAATCCAAGCTAAATCATGTCATCTCAAATGGAAAACATCAGTAGTTTGTCACTTCGATATTACTTTCTAGAATATATTAAATCCCATGGATATATAAACTTCAGATTACAACAGTACTTTATGATATTTTGCTTTTAGAGCCACTGCAAGACAATATCCGCGTTACTGGTTGCACCATTACAGTTCAGACAGTGAGACAGGGGGTTGTCAGTAAAGATCCCATGGCACTGTTTCTAAAAGCAAGGGTCTTAACTCTCATTTTTTTGGCTAAATTTCCACTTTAATCTTACACAGTGGTCCTGCAGTTGTTGAAACAAATTTCTCAACACTTTTTTCACCTCATCTGCCCTGCAATGGGGCTGCTGGCACATAACGGCTGCCATATATCAGACATTATGGGTTTCTTGCCATGAGGAGAAGTCATAGTATAGTTCTTTCTGGTCTGCTTTTTAAGCATTTGTTTTAAAATGAATGTATAGTATGTCGGTTTTGATTTTGTCCTCAAAGGGCTTGGTTTTTTAACTTGCAGATAGGAATTTTAATTTAACATCTAGAAAGACAACATTTCTTTAGTATAAGCTTCTACCCTCCATATCCTTTGAGAATGAAGCTCATTACCTCGATATCTGACTGCGAATTAACCTATTTTCATTTTTATTATGTATTTGGCTGATTGTCTTATCCAAACAGCAGCCGACTGGGTCTTTCACAGGGGCCCTGTGAATGCAGTACCTTGCTCAAGGGTTTTACAGCAGCTGTGTCCCACCTAGGGGTTGAGTTATCAATCTACTGCTGCTGTTGCTTCTGTCCCTGACTCGCTGGTTCTGTCTGTCTTGATGCAGGATGTACAGTTTTATGGGAGGTGGGCTGTTCTGCGCTGGAGTGGGGAACATTCTCCTGATCGTTTCCACAGCAACAGATTATTGGATGCAGTACCGCCACTCAGGCAACTACATGCATCAGGGTTTATGGCGGTACTGTGTACCAGGAAAATGCTACTCGCACACTGAAAGCATCGGTAAGGCAGTCTGCGAACTGAGCCCTTCTCCCCGACGATCCTGTTCAATAGGAAACACAAAAGCGGCCTCCCCAGACGCGTCTGCGATATTGCAAAAGGGTCTGGACAGGAAGTGAAAGTGCCCGTGAATTCAAATTTTAAACCTCAATTTTAAAAGAAGAGGTATTTCGCCAAAGCTGTGGTGCTTGTGCCCCTCACAGCTGCCTCTCCACATTGAAACAGTGCCAACAGCAGTATGAGACGGATTAAATTCTGCATCAGAACCAGAAGCTCCTTAAGTTTCACTGTATGAATATGACATGAAAGTAAAACCTATAATGAATCTTGGACTAAAGTCAAAGTGGATTTTAAGCAATTTACCTAGTAGAAAATTACACGTCACAGTATCACCACAGGCTAACAAGGAGATATAGCTTTAGCCACTGTATTTGTTTCTTGTTTAATTCACCTTCTAACAATATTTTAATGCAAGCATTTAGTAAGTAGGAAAATCTATCTTATAAGCTGCATTAACAAATGGATCGAAACTGAAAAATAGGTAGTGAAACAATGTGTGCAAATGACAGATTAATTCTCCACTCCTGTGTCAATTTAAATTATGAAGCAAGGAGTGACTGGCTCTCACTACAGAGGCTATTTCTAAAACCTGTTGTACTTGAACCTTATCCAGGCATTAAAATATCTTAAAGTGAATGTATTTGTGGCTCATATTACATGTTAATTCCAGTATCTACTGGATTGATCACTTGCACTGTACTTCCATCAGGTGTGACTGGGTAATTTACTGTTGATTGAAGAACATAGAAAAATACAAAGATTTAACAGTGGGCAAATGCAAGCTCTTGAGTTAGATGGGACTGATATGACAGACATGTTAAAGAGGCTTGTAGAAAGGCAGGCTAACTGTTTTATGTCTAATGTGTGAATCCAAGATCTGGATCTTTTTCTTTAACATGACACTCCACCTGTTCCAGCGTACTGGGATGCTACCCGAGCCTTCATGATTCTCTCCTTGCTGGCCTGTTTCATTGGCATCATCATCGGCATCATGGCCTTTGTCCACTACTCCTCCTTTGACAGATTTGACAAGACGTTTGCTGCAGGCATTCTCTTTTTCATCTCATGTGAGTTATTTCTCATGTATCTCCTGGCTTCTGTCATTGTGCCTACAGGGAACAAACAGCCATAGTACTTTTCAGAACAGCAAAAAGAACTGAAAACGTTCTGTGTGCATTCACTCCAGTTCTACAGTAGATGTAAAATCAGATAATAAAATATCTTACATTTAATGAGCATAAAAAGCTCATAAACTTACTCTAAAAGTAGGAATCCTGCTGTTGCTATCAAAAACAAGGGCACATGCTAGATGGGACAAATGATCTGTTTTTGCTGGTATTTTTTCCTGTAAACTGCAAAATGTGTAACATGACCGAAATGATATTTAAAGGCAAATTTTATTTTTTCTAAGCAGTGCAATTGACGGCGAGTGCAATAAGTGTGACAGGAACGCAGTGGGAAATTGTAAATGGTTATTCCTTTGGAAAAAGATGTGGGGGAGGAACTAAAAGCATTTTTATCCAGCTGTTTCAAAGTTTTCCATGTTTGTTGGTAGGGGCTGGAGCTCATCATCTCCATGACTTCATCAACATCAGACAAATTCACCCTCTGACTGTTGTCATGGGACCTTTCAGATGAAGAATAGCAAGAATCTGAACTTCATATAACTCTGAGAGACATGCAAAGAGATGAAGAAGTCATTCTAATGCAGTGGTCTTCCCTCCTGCTCCTGCCATTCAATCCAGTTAGTCACACAGCTCACCTGTTTCTAAAGAACTACCAATACCTCCACATTGCTGATGAATTAAGACAGTCGCCTGTTCGGTTTAGAGATCTCTGACTCCTGAAAGCTGCATGGTCATGGGATTTGGGGCCCAGATGATCTCTAAATTACTTAATTTAACACTTCCCGCACTTAAAAGATCACAATGAAATTGCTCACGTTAGTTAGGAATTAACGGTGATTTCTACATTTTGCGAAATATGGGTTCCTCAGCACCAGGGCAGAAGAATCTGTTTCCGATCTGCCCCCTGTCTAGGTCTCTGTATTGGCCGGGAAGATGCAGGGGAGTTAAAGGGAAATAAAAAGGAAAATATTTCAGGACATTCAGAACCAACGAGCCTGACGCTAGTTGCTCTTTTCATATTCTGTAATAATCACTAGCAGACGGTGTGTCTATTTTGTATTTTCAGGCCTGTTTGTCCTGCTGGCGATGGCTGTTTACACTGGAGTCACAGTGAACTACTTCGGTAAAAGATATGGAAACTGGAGATTTTCCTGGTCTTACATCATTGGATGGGTGGCTGTAGTTCTCACTTTCTTTTCAGGTGGGTTTTTTGTAAGAGTTTTATTAAATAAAAATAAAAATAATGCCAAGAACTCTATCAAAAATAGACCAGCCCCTCAACTATATTTCTATTCTGTCCTAAATGGTCCACTAGGCTTTTTCATCTTCAGGTTGTTTCTCATTGTCAGCACGCTACATTTGCAATAACAGTATTTTGTCTGTTTTGTGAATTCTTCTGGCTAGATTTTACTGGGTAGCGCTGTTTTGGGTTGGTTTTGTTACTGACGTACTGTTTCTTGATTGGGAAGAAATAATAATAAATACATAACGCTGCATTAATTCAGAGAAAAAAAAAACATAAAAAATCAAATAGGGAAAAAAGCTTGATCTGACAGAAAACCATTATATCCTTTTTCTAGTAGATTTACTTGAAACTCATTAACTGTTCTCAGAAGAAATTATAAAAACCAATCAATAGCTCATTTGATACTTAAAAATACAATTCAGTCTTTTTCAGTGTGTTGTTGGGAATGCTTTATCTTATATGGTATAAATAATCTTAAATGGATGTGCAATTGCATATTAAATAATTGATACCTTAATGCTTGCAATTAACATTTGACAAATTACAGGATCTGTAGGATAAGAACAGAAATAACAAAATTGCTAGATCTAAGACCTCAATTACTCTAATATTCCCACTACACATTTTTGTGAGAGGATATTAATTGTGTCAAACACAAGGCTACAAACCTAAAGGAGACTTATAACCACATAAAAGTTAATAATTAAAAATAAATTGGGTTAAGGAAGATATTAAGTCATTTCATGTTGAATGTATTACCTTTTTGAAAATAGCATCAAATTTGGACATTAAATGTAAGTTATAATGTATGATTTAATGTGAGATTAATTTGCAACTGCTTATTAATTTAATGTGACTTTATTGACGCAACAATAATAAAGTGTTGCTTAATTGCTTAGTGTTAAAGAGCACACAAGCAAAACTGAACATAAGATGCTACACTGACAGCATTTTTGCTGGATTTCAGTTATCAGATGGCACAAACAGGAATTGTTTTCTCTTACTTATCAGTGAGGCAAAATGAATACCATACTGTATAGCTAAAGAGTCAACATATCATTTGAAAGTGATAGAGGTGCGTTTATTAATTGATGGTGATAAAACATTTTTGAATGGCTTTGCTCAGGACAATACAGTACCTGCTAAGACTGCTTGCACAAGTTCTCACCTGTTCCAAGGCCAGTGGGTGCTAAGGGAATCATCTTTAAAGACATTATTAATTCAGTTCAAGACAGTCAGAATACCTCATGAATATCTTAAAAAGCTAACTGGCATGCAATTTTTAAAATCAGTGTTTTGTGATTTTCTGACCACTGGGAGGCATTTAATGCATAGCAGTTCCCACATCTGAACACTACAATTCACGAAAACTGTGGGCAAAAACAATTTACTGGTGTTAATGATCGACAGTGTTGATAGTTAATCTTTTAATTTTCTCTTGTTGAACAGGTCATCTCTCAACTATTGTCGTTTTGTTTAATGAAATACGTATTTCATTTCTTCAAGGTATTTTCTACATGTGTGCCTATCGTATGCATGAATGCCCAAGAAGCTCCCATCCTCACTAGTAGAAGACACCATGAAAATCCCAATCTTTCTCCTGTGATAATGAACTGATTATGAACGTGTGCCCTGAACTGTAAATCAAGAAACGAGTTTCCTAATTCTCCCCAGGAGACTGAATTCAGTAACTAGAATAAAGAACTGTGAGAATAAATCTCTTCTCCTTTTTAAAACTTAAAAAAATGAAATGTCTAAAATAATGGATGTTTGGCTCACTGATCTTTATGCTGCTTTTACTGTTAATTGTACACCACATAGTATAGAAACATCATGAAAATGTCAGTGTGACCTGAACTTAACTGAGATGCGTGGGAAGAAATAACTGTCTCGACCCATGCCTGAATCTTCCTTTCTTGCATCATCTTCTGAGCTGTCTGCTGACAAGATCAATGGAGCTAAACAAGACAGCAATTAGTGTAGTTTAACTGGTTTTTCAAATTCATCAGAAAAAGACAGGAACAATATTTGATTGCTATATTTATCTAATATTTGATCCCAATGGAAACCCAGTACATTAATTACTTTCACTGGTCAGAAGTTTTGATGAGACTGCAAACGCTGATGATAGAAAATGCTTCAAAAGGTCAGTACAGGATTTGCATTGTATTTGGAACACCTTTCAAAGTGCAAATGTTTATAAGATTTCTCAAGGTCTGCCATATTCTACTTCAATTTTTAATATTTATTTTAATTCTGCAACAACTACTAGTTTTGGTTTAAAAATAAGGTCTAAATTAGATTCTAGTCTTAAAACTGTAACACAAAGCATATTCAATTTACAGGTCAGGAGTAATTTTGACTTACAATAATTCACATATTGGGGTAGTTTATGAAGGATATCAAGTTTAAGGCAATTTCACAGTGGACAACAGCATCCATGAACAGGATGCTTCGTGGATATTTGGAACACCTGGTGAGAAAAGTCTGGCTTAACCGGCTTGGTGAACGGGCAGCCTCCTGGCCACAGAATGAGGAGGCTCCAACCCCACTCAGACAGGAGAGGATGCCTGAGACAAATTCAAGTTCATCTTATGTAGCTGGATTATTGATGATGTTGATTACTGTAGGTGCAGCTGTGTGAGACTGACTTGCGTTTGTTATCCCTCCCAAACTGCAGTTAATAACTTTCATTTTGTGCCAAGAAAAACATCTCCATTTTGAAGCTACAAGGAGAATGATTATTTCTGAGTTTTACTGGTGTCATGTCTGTTATTGCTTCCTTTGAAACAATACCATAAACTGTTTAACAACACATATAAACTTAGGCCTAATCCTTAAAAAGGAAACATCATTAAACCTCACCCTGCCATTGAATGCTCATTTTGACCTCGTCACCTGCAGGACATTTTATAACTAAAACCACATCTCTCAAGGTTTTACGGATGCTTGCTTTTGAGTTAGGACAATGAATATGTTCCAAAGAATGAAGAAAAATAAACCAACATAAATTTGTTGGCTTATTTTAGCAATGAACGTGTGATTTGTAAAAGAAAAGGGATTCCGAAATTAAACGGGTAAGAAACACGTCTTCGAAGTAATCTAAATGTAATCTTCTAATGACGGGCAACAAGGGCCATAACATCTCCGATGACTTCCAGAAGCAGTGTCGGGCTTGCCTGTCCTCTCTTGCCGCTTTCTTCCCACCTCTCAGAGCTGGGACGAGGGATCATTGCTGTCTCTAAACTGCGTGTGCCCGTTCAAGGCGCCGTCCTGCGTTGCAACTGAGGCTTCTGCATCGGGCTACACCTTTTCGTTTGCAACGCAATGGCAAAGGGAGCTTAACAGCAACAAACACTGAACTGAAAATAGCAGTGCTGCTGCATTAGGTTTAAGAACCCTTCTAGAAGATGGTGCAACTGTTAAAGGTATTGGTCTACCCCAGTAAATGTGTATGATCTTATAAAGTCACATTTACCATTAAAGCAGTAGGGATCCATTATTCCGTTTCAGTGTTGCGCCTTGCACTTTCTCAGCAGTTGGTCCACCATATAAACGCAAGGCTGCCCGTACTGTGATATACGGTGTATATAAATAAATACCCTTCCCAGGTGCTTGTGAACTAGTTGCATGGACTGACTTTTTGCTTCCCCTAGACTGTGAAACCTGATTTTTTTTCCAGAACCCCCAACGCTTTCTTCGCAGGAACAAGCATTTAAACAAGCGTTTTTTTAGGATAATTAAATACGAGCCCCTGCACCTGTTAGCTCGTGCCACCTGATCTGGAGTTTCTTCAAGACGTCATGCATTTGTGTCAAAAAGGTGTTTTTCGTCTCTTGCAGAATTTGCACGATACGAGCGCGGAACGTTTTGCATTGCCAGATGCTTAGCTGCGCCCTGTTTTGTTTTAGGAAAGACTTCTTCTGCAACGCGACTCCTTAGGCTTTTCTTGATAATGAATGCTTAAATGTGCTTTTTGATGCTTAAAGAATGTTTACTGATTGTAAAATCAAATGAAAAGGGGGTTTCAATGGTTTGTGCAAGAAAAAATCAGACAGCTGGCCCTCTCAGTTTTCAGTACAAAGCAACAACTGTAGACACACACATCCTGTATGTGTAAACTGCACTCTCAAACACTGTACAGTAGGTCGCAATGTAGATATCTCTCAGTTCTTGTGTTGCGAATGTAGATAAATAAAAAACAGTTAGGATTCTGCTCTTTGGGAATGTCACCTCTATTGATATTTAGGTGAGTTCGTATAACTTCCATAATGCAGATAATAAATGCTATTAATACTATAAGAAAAATCTCACCGTTCGCCTTATTTTAATATTTTCTTAAAAGCTCCTATTACTTGTGATATTACGGGTTTTTACACGCAGAAATTAACAGGTCATTTATTATGGTGACGTTTTTCATTGCAGTGCATAGATGTGTAGGTTAAAATGATTTGCGGCGCTTCGGAAGACAGCCAAACTACAAGTTCAAATGAATCGTTAATCGTTAAAATGTTATGCAAGTCGTTAGCATGTTGAAAATCACTTTGTCTGCGACCTGGAAGATTCCCAGCAAATCACTCTGGCTTTCACTGCTAACGCTCTTAGGATGAGCCGATTTCGCCGCGGTCGCTGAGCTCCTTGGCCAGTCATCCCGCCCATCGCCCGAGACGAGCCCAGCAAGTTTGCGCCTGGCCGGGATTAGCGCGTCCGTCTCCCCCGCAGCGCTACCCCTCCAGTTCACCACAGAGCCTGCCCGGACCGCGGCCCCCTCGCCCCGCCGCGTCTCCTGACTCCCCTCGGGGGGTATTTTCTCCACAACTGCCCTCAGATCTTTCGAGGGCTCTTCAAAGGTGCCCCATCTCCTGAAATAACCTCACCACCTAAAATAAAACTCAGGTGAATTATGGAAAGCCCACATAAAACATTTTCTGCTTTTTGATAAGGTTTACTACAACTTCTAATAAAATGGGAGTTGTATATACCCTTTGATGTTTTATCCTTCGAATGTTTATTTGTTTTTAAATTAAGCAATATATTAATTGCACGCTTTACTCATTTCTTAATATGTATTTAATTTTAAACGTAATATACTGGCTGTACGTCTACGCATGATTTAAAATGTCATTGAAGGTTGGGAGCGTTATAATAGTTTGCATTCAATATCGTTATTTTTGTTTACACATTTGTGTCATTCATATAAAAATCGTCTCAAAAACTCGTACGCCGCTGTTTGAATACCCCAAAAAAAAAACAGTCGCTTCGCAGAAACAAAGAGGTATCAGAAAATACACGGAGAATTAATGCGACTTCAACTGTCAATTACACAGAAGTGAATAAGCTATTATTGCAAAACAAGAAAGGAAAGTCTAATCATTCCAGAATCTTTATTTAACATGATTATTCAGACCCACTTGAACTAAATCATGTTGTCAGATCAACAGTAATATTATGAAGTTAAAAGAAAAAGCTCTTTGTCAGCATCCTGAGTGATTATTTATCAAAAGTATTTAAAATAAAAGAAACGTAATTAGAGTCAGTTTCGTGAGCTTCGGATCTCATAGGCGAACTGCCTTCGAGAGATCCGTCTATTCAAGACAATAAAGAACAAGCGCTTATTCAGAGCCGGATCAGACAAAGAATCTAAAAAAGGCTTCAAAAGAACAGATAAAAAGCCTTTATGTGCTTTAAAACCACAACATTACAAAACCACGGAAAACCTCAAAAACATATACGGTAATCACAGTATGTCTCTTCTGTTCTGCGTCTTATTAAGGAAAATGTTTCAGTGTATCACATATTAGCTTCTAAAACAAAATGCTAGACACTGAATAATAACCTATTTTGAGCATTTGGAAATATGTTATTGGGCTTGTCTAAGGTCTTTTAATCATCTATGTCGTTTTAAAGTTATGTAAGGAGTTTTAAATTCTGATGAAAATTGTTTGATCTAAGCCTAGTGATCGGACCATTAGGGAAAAATGTAGTTCGATTTCTGTCGTGTCTATTAAGTTTTACAAGCTAGATAAATGCTAGCAAAGAATCGAAGAAAGAGAGACATCACTGTTTTGTGGGTTTTGTTTGGTGAATTAAGTTGCAAATTAGCTGAAACTAACGGGAGTCTTGCAGATATAAAAGTTGCATTTAATCCTTCAAGCTCCTTAAAAATGTGTCACTTAAAAAGTGACGCTGCTCTGTCGCTGCGCCGAATTTCACTTGATGAAATTGCTATTCAGAAAGCGGCTTATCTCTCTCTCGTACCATACACTGCGGCCGAAAGGATTGATTCTCCTTACTGTCGGAGCTCTAAGACAATTTCATCACCATTAATTCATTTATTTTCCCATTTGCTCCTAAAAGCAACTAGTTACCCTGTTGTGACATTAATCTGCCTCCAAGGGAACAAATGCCGCACTCACTTCTAAACAGAGGTGTCGATTAATTTGACGGAATTGTACAAACAAGTATGAAATCTAATTTAAAAAAAATAAAAATAACAGGCATAAATACTTAAGCCTGCAGGCAACGTTTGACACAACAGCGTTATGTAAATAACAACAATGAAAAATCTATATGCTTTTAAGTACTATTTGTTACGATATTTATGTTTATCGCAGATAGGAAGGTGGTGAATTCAGATTGAAGGTGTGCTATAATCTACAGTACGTTTCCCAGTAACATTTGCACCAAGCAAAAGCATGTTTTTTTTTATAAATGACATGTGCGAAAACATGTCTGTCATTTATTTTAGTGGTGCCCTTTGGAATGGAATAATTTAGTGCTTTAATTATAAACGCCGTCCTTTAAATTCTTGCCACTTTACAACCACAGGCACAACATCCGAGGCCTTTAGAGGTCTCATATCAGCACTTCACCAATGGTGGTGAAAATAAAAAGACCTGGAGACGTACCCAAGAACTGAAAGATGACACGTCACTGGTCAGTTTTCAGAACTGACAGAGAAGCGTGATGACCAGCACCTCAGAGAAGCGGTGTGGATTGAAGGCAACGTGAAAGGCTCTAACCACCTGTCTTTGCCAAGCACGGTTTCACTGCGAGTGAGGATTTTGTCTCTTGATCTTGATCTTTATCTCTTTTTTTTTTCCACGGTTGGCACTAACTTTAACGCAAGCTTGGCAAGGCGAGAGAAAGAAACACAATTACAAAAATCGACTCCCTCCCTCTATCCCCCCCAATTTTCGTGTTCATTAAAGCAGAGGCAGCACTGCCATTTGTAGTCACTTGAAGGTGCTCATCTATTTACCTTATACTCGCTCATACATATGGAACACATGTCTTACACTTGCTGGAGTAATGCACTTTTAAGACTAATTGAATCCAGTAATTAATTTGTTCTACCTGCCTGATCGAATGGAAATCCTGTCCTCGTGCCCAAGGATTAGCACTTGCCGGTCTAACATCTTCCCTAATTATCTAATAGCATTGCTGCGAGAATTCTGGCTGTATTAAAACACTTTCGGCATTAACTGCAGTGATTGGAAATGTGATGACAACTCGATTTCAACAAATTACGGCCCCAAACATGGAGATGGAACAGAAGTACCTACTTGTAATTTCCCAGAGTTTAATATCAATAATTAGAGCCAATTTAGCGGGAAATGAGCTGAAATTATCTCTTGGTATGTTTTAGTACAATGTAATAATGCCGGAAAACATACCCTCCGGGAGGAGAACACCGGACTGCGGGGGAAAAAAGTTTAACTTAAAGACCTTGGAGCGAAATGTGAAGGCCGCCGTGGCAGGGAATATTATGTGTCATTTATCGGTTCGTATGTATTTATTAGTTTATTTGATCCAGATTAAGTTTCGTGCAGCAATTGAATTTCCAAACTGCAGTACTGTGTAAACATATCAGAACGCTTAAAAGCTAAAGTCGCCTATAAAACAGACCGTGTGGTTTCTATAATTCGCAACAACAGTACTACTACCCCTCGCTGATAATCTAACAGAAATGTTGTAATTACACCGTCTTTCAAAGAGTGTCATGTAGGTTACAGCGATATATATATTTATTAATATTTATATATAGTCAACTGTTTCAAGTACGTTATTAAACGCCAACTGGACAAGGATGATGACGAACAGTGTAAACTCTGAGGCAGAAGCAGTGGCGTTCTCAAGGGTAGCTGTGTGTTGAGAAGGAAGGAAAAAAGCAGAAATAATGAAATGGCAATGTCTTAATTCACAGCGACTGCCGGAAAAAAAGGGGGGACTGTTTCATAAACAGGAGATAGTTTTTAAGCGTGCTGAGGTTCAAAGCGGTTTAAGAGGCTCCTCAGAATCGCTCGGGCTCCTCATGAAAGTCCGTTTCAGCACCATGGCGAGCGACCCGCCCTCTGCTGCCGTCAGTATAATTAATCCATATAGAACTAATTCAATCCCCGACCACGCCGTCGTGCCATTGGCTAATCGCAAATCCGTTCCACAATTTGTTGCCGTCGGTCTTCTACAATAAATACTAATCTACCTGGCTCTATCTACTCTGTTTCTTCACAGATTGTAAACTATAGCGTCCTCAAATTTAGAAGAACCTGGCTCGTTCTTTCAAACCCGGCTGCCGCGAGTGCAAGTAATATTCATCTCCGAACCCAAACACACTCAGGAACTGACAGTTTATTGCATGCTCGGATTGGATATGAATCTAAATTTTACATCGCCCGTCCATCAAATGCCCGCTCAGAGGCCGACGTCGTTCTTCATTGAAGATATTTTGCTGCACAAGCCCAAACCCCTGAGAGATGTGTTTCCTTCGCCCTTCACAAGTTCATTGGCATCCCGGGTGCCGCTTTTGGAGTATGGATACCCTCTGATGCCAACCCCTACTATACTGGCACCCCATCCTCATCACCCCCTGCATAAACCAGATCATCACCCCTATTTCCTCACCACCTCTGGTAAGTACAGAAACGGGCCTCAGAACGCGTGAGCTCTACATAAGTCAGATTCAGAAATAGTCTAGACAGTTAATGATGTTATTAATGTTATTACGTGAAAACCGTCACCAGGTAACAGTATTTGTATCAACATTAATTGTGCCATCTGACTGTAAGACCTGCGGTGAAAAAAAGTCAACTTAATAGTTCAGTAACACGGAAAACGTCCGCTCCACAACTTCTGTAGGGGAGAATTATAAAATGCCACGTTACTTGTTCGGAAATGCACATTTTAACAATGCACGTATAAAAATGCAATAACAGAGATTTTCTTCGCAAAACAAGAGTGCGGGAACATTACTATGGCACCATCCTAATTAAATAATGGTTTAATGTAACTGTTTAATGATATTAACTGCATCGTTATTACTTTAATGGTATGATCAAGCAAAAAAGTTCACAGTTAAATAAAACTGTAAAATATGCGTTTTCCTTTATGTTCGGCCTAGCCATCCTGCATATAGTGATTGTGACAAATATCTTAAGAGCAAGCGGTTAGTTCAATTCATCTTTGATGGCCAACATTATTTTTTATTAAACAATTTAAAACGAACTGCATGCCATCTGTCTTTATGCTGCTTCGACTCCCGGGATGTCATTATTCTTAGGTCTGAATTGTCACACCACGAATGTATCGAAGAGAGCTTTTAATTTCTCGTTTTTTCATCGTTTTGCGACAACTCTCGACGTGATGTTTTTTTTTAATGTGTATATCTCAAAATGAAAAGATTAAAATTGTTTCGAAATCATTTAAGCATCCACTGTTTGTTTTTTCGTTTTTATGAAAAGCTACGTTATCAGACCAGATTATAATGAATTCTTATTAACTAATCTTTTTAATTATTTATTCAGGTATGCAGGTTCCGGCATTATTTCAACACCATCCGGAGTTGCCGGGAAAGCACTGCAGACGCAGAAAAGCCAGAACAGTGTTTTCCGACTCTCAGCTATCGGGTTTGGAAAAGAGATTTGAAATCCAGCGGTATCTGTCCACTCCAGAGCGAGTTGAGTTGGCAACAGCCCTCAGCCTTTCGGAAACACAGGTAAGGAAGCTGTCTTTCACTGTTCTCTTTTCTGAACCTACGTAGTTTATATGAGATAATTACTAGTGTAATAATTGTATGTTATTATCCATACTATTAATCTGATAGAGTTTACCAATAGATATTTTTTTAAGTGACAGATCCTTACGCCGCCCCTTTTCAAACATAACTAAATCAGATAAAACACATGTGTATTGAACCTCCTTTGTTACATAGGTAAAAACGTGGTTTCAGAACAGAAGAATGAAGCATAAAAAGCAACTTAGAAAAACGCAAGACGACCAGAAAAGTCCAAATGACTTGGATCAGTCTCTAGAGAACAACTCCAGCGAAAACGAAGGCAACGAGAAGATCTCTCTGGATGTCAAGACTGCAAGCGCCCAGAACACCTACATCCTGGAGGAAAACGAAGACGACGTTGATATTGAAGACGACGACATCTGTTCCCCCGAACACTTAATTTAAGCGACTTTTAGGTCAAGTTTTTGAACACTTGCAGAATAACACATTGTGACGACTTGGAAGAAGACAAAGGGGGTTTATATTCCTTATAGCGGTGTAAGGTGCGATCTCAGCAAAAAAAAAAAATGAAAGCACTTCTGTGAAACATCCATATGATACAATAGTACTTATTGTAAATTTCATAACGGAATACGAATAACACTTATGGAAATAAGTGAAATAGAGCACAGAAGCAGTGTCACCTTCTGGAGTCCCAAACTAATATAGTTTCAATTTAAAAAAAAATATTTTTCATGTCGACTTTTACAAAATGCAGGAACTGCCCTGCTATTGGTGATAATGACAATAGTTTAATGAACATCGAAACAAAAAGACGACTTTTTTGTTGTTGAAAACAAGCAGGGCAAGTTTCGAAATGGTGCAATTTTGACACTTTTATACTAATATTCCATTATTTTAACACAAATTGGCGTTGTACCTTATTGCACACAAATTGTTTTCTCCTCTTTTTGGGGTGGGGTATTGATTAGGGCAGGGGGAGATTGAAATGATTTTAAAAAAGTTTTTTTTATATCGCCGAAATTTTGTTCCCATGCTAAAGTATTGTGATACAAGTAAAATCATTTTGCAATAGTCTGAAATCAACTAAGAATAATAAATCTCCAAGGAAACAGAGATAGTGTATTGCTTCTGCGCTTTAAATGTGATGTTAAGTCTCGTACGATTCTCGGGACTCAACACTCCTATACATTGTAAAGACAATCTGTAAAATATTATTTTTATGTTGTATATAAAACTTAACGGACATTAAACGCTCTGACAAAGTCTTGTGTTTAATTATAGAGCAATTTTATAGGTATCTTCTGTTATTTGTTGGCACTCGCATTGTAAGAAAGTGCATGCTTTCGCAAGACTTGTTTATGCTAGCTATGCAGTTAATTAAATGATTTGATTTTCATGTGCATTTTTATTTAATGTTTCGTTTTAATTAAAATTGTTTTACATTTTGTTGTTTTTTTGCACTCGTATGTTTCTCCTGCCAAGTGTATTACTGTTAGATTTCTAACACCGTTATATAACTAAACTGAAATACCTAACGTAAATATGTACGTTAAATCTATTTAGACATACACACCGTCATATACATATGTTTCTCGGTAGAAATAACAATGATTAAAAATGTTTTACAAAGAGCAGGTCGGGCTAGATCTGTTTTCAAATCGTACAAAACAATGAGTAACTGTTTGCTTGCACAATTATAAAAAACACAAATATGCTACAGGTTTTCTTCCTAAACCGATCAAATGTTTTACATTTGCTTTCGTTAATTTGCGAGTACTCTTTGCTTAAAAAAACATCTTTAATGTTTAACGTAGACGACGTTTCCTTTCCAGTGCAGTTTGGAAATAAAAAATAAATTATAGTAACAATTTTAACTCCGAAACTGACACTTCGAATAACGTTTTATCTTCTCCTTTTCAATAGTCGAAAATGCAAAAAAAGCTTCAGTGAAGCGACCGAGAGTTAGCCTGTCAAACGTGGAGTAATGCAGTACTTATTTATATAGTGAAATCTTAAAGAAATAATTATGAAAAAAATCATTAGGTACTGTAACTCATACAATCAACAAACACTTCAATAGTTCTACTCCAAACAAAACAAAATAAAACTTTTTTAAAGGAAAATAGAACTATTTTGATAAAAAAATAAGTATGTTATTTTCTGTTATTAACTAAACTAATTTACAGAAACATGCTTTTCAATCTCGGGGAGGATATTCTTAAAATTTCACCTTCGAGGGCCCATATCTCACCGGTCCCCAAGCTTCGTTACCCCAACCACGAAGCGACGAAATTAAAATACCGTCCTGCGAATGTCGTGAGACCAATTTTTGTTTTTGCTCGGTATGTTTTTAGTTGTTTTTTGGGAAGGGTTTAAGATAAATGTGCAGGAATGAAAAGCAGACACCAGGCCCCAGTCACTGTTATTAAGCCGTGCGGAATCTTAAAACATCAGCCATCGAATATTCATTAAGCTTTGCTGTACCTCCGGAAAGCAACATTTGTTACTCTCAATGCTATCATCCGTATGATACTCCTTAACCTTTGATTCATGATCATGTTATGCTGCATCGCCGGGCTGTGGTATAATGATTTAACCAATTTCAACGCCTTCAACAAGCCGCGGTTTATCGTGTCGTACTTTATAACACAATGTCCCGAGCTTAATGTCGCCAGAGCCCCTTTTGGTCATACTGTCAGACTTGTAATTACAATGATACTTCAGTGGCAACTAACTACGGGGTACCAGATGGTGTCTAAATATGCTCGACGGTCTCTTTAGAAATAATATCATTGGAAGTAGGAAAAAAACATTTATGCATGTTGTAATCAAGCCCTTGAAAGAGAGGGGGTATCTAGGCTCCTTGGTTTCTGTAAGTAACACTAGGCTGTACAGTCTGCTAGCTGTTTTAATTGGAATCGCATAGCCTTGCGGTCGCAACATGAACTCAACCCAGAAAAAGATATACCTCTTACCTGAAGTCTACTCTTTACATATTACGCCAATTCAAAAAATACCAGCCGCGTTTCACGAGTCCTTGCTTTGATTGCGTTATGAAAGATTCCTGCACGTTTTTATTGTGTGTTGTCTGGCTTGATGGGTACAGTTTGTTTCTGGCGAGTCGTTGGCGCAGGGGGCTAGTTCAAGCCCGGGTCACGGTGAGGGAAGCGAGAGTATCGGTTTGCACCGCAGCAGGCTTGACTGAGCGAAATCGTCTGAGCATTGGCGAAAGCAACACAGGTTCGTTTTTAGAAGGGACTGCCAATACAGTGGTACTGAATCAAGTAAAGACGATCCTTCTCAGTTACACATTACTCCGTTGTTTAATGCAAACCTACTGTTAGAGTTATATGGATAACATTTCCCATATATGCGAACCGGAAAGCTCAAGATTGAAATTGGTCATTTTTCGTTGCATGCTTTTTTTTTTTACCTTGCAATTACTGTATTCATAATCTAAGTGCAAAAGTTTAAAAGCTTATACCTCGTTAAAAAGTTTAATGTAGTTTAAAATTGGGGTGGAGACAATTTTAATTAACAATAATTTCCAGACTTCTGAATTAATACTTCTCTCTTTTCCATTGTTATAATTTGCGTGTTGATAAAGTATTTATAGCGTTTTCATGTGCTGACTTTCTTCCCTCCCTTGCAAATCGCTTCGTGCTGAACTTTAGAGCTTATTCTCAGAATAACTTCAATTGTCCTAAACATTCTAAAAACATAGACATGTAAAAATGGTTTAGAAAGTGATCAGAATAGAAGTCACAGCCAATTTAATTGAATACGTTTAAGCAGGATCTGGATGAGCAAGTTTAAAGGTTCATTTAGAAGCACAACAGGGAATTCTTTTAAGGAAAAGCCTAGGAAAAATGCTGTAAGACTCAATCCACAAAGAACTAAATAGAAACCTGTCTAGGATTTAACATCCAGCCAGAGCCATAAGCCTTACCCTTCTTCTTCAGAAGATCAGTACACCTGTGCTGTTCCCTCACTGGAATGCTTGTGCTCATTGTTGTCACCTGAGTTGTTAATTGTTAATTGTAGAGAGGGGTTTACAATTAAAGGGCCTGTACGGTGTCTGATTTCAATATAAAACCTAGCCAATATTTCATAATAGAATTTGCTTTCATGCTGTATTATCTTTGTATTTGCATTATACATTTGTCAGTTACATAGTCTACGAACAGGAGGAGAGTACGCCTAACTGTGAGTCTAACAGTATATTTTTTGCAATGCTTCTACCAGTAGCCATCAGCCTGAAAGTAGAACACATTGTTAATACTTGTCCTTAATTTTCAGAGGGAAACTAAATCATAAAAAAATACCATTGGTTAGCTAATTATGCAATAAAAAGTTCTAAATCGCTTTTCTAAATTCTTCCTAAATGGACAAATGGGAATTTGTCTGAATTGTTACAATCATTAGTGAGGTACAGAATTTAAAACGATAGCACTCATAAACTATTATATATCTTTTAAACAAGACTTTTTTGTCTACTTGCAAGTTCTATGAAACATTTGTAATTTTTTTATTGAAAAATGAACATTTTCTTCTATTTACACTACACAATACAGACTCCATCCTTGAATAATATGAGCTTTTAAGATGTTATATAACTTTATTTTGTGCAACTCGATTTTTGTTTTCAGCTTGTGTCTACACATGAATAGACATAATAAAGTACTGTACAGCTACAGGTTACATTTTGCTTCTATACAGGTAATATTTCTGCATTGAGATGGCAAACAAACTAAATTACATGATGACTACAAAATTAATCGCACATTTTCTCCTGAACATCGTCTTTATGAGACAATGTAGCCTCTTCTAAACACTGTAAGTGTCCCCTGTCCACAAGGAATCCCATGACCAAAGAAGAGTGAGACTCCTCTGTCCTGGTGTCCAAACAGTGGACACAGCTTCTCTCTCGGCTTCACAGACACAAAACACAGAAGACATTGCAGTGGTGATGGAAACAGGACATTCCAACTTTAAATGTACATGTCTGTATTGCAGTGATATAAGCCTTTATTCATATTACCCAGGTAATCTCAAAGGCGTTATTGTAGTTAATAAGCAAAGGATTTAAATCCAGGCATTTGTTATAAAATATCTTTCAGTGGTGATACAAAAATGGGGTAATGCTGATACTGTTCTTTATTCGTTACCTTTTATATAATCATTAATATTTAATTAAAATATTTAATGTCACAATTATAGAGAGACACCAACATTTATTTGATTCACCTAAATATAATTAGTGGGATGTGGCACGCATTCATGTAAACATACCATGTAAACATTTATATTAACTGCACATTAGAAAATGTTGTTTTTTTATGAAACCAGTGACCTGTATTATTAGAAGACATTAGAAAAAAACCCTTCAGGTTTATGGATAAATGTCGAATGTTAATATTCTGTTTTTTATTAGGGTTACATAAGTGTTCCTGTGCAAACACAGTCTAGCATCCTGTAAGAAAAAAATTCAATTGATGAGAATTACCATCTGGCTTTAGAAGATATTATTCTGGATTTAAAATACAACTATATCTGCAAAACTAGTACATTACATACATCATATTAATTTATGCATTCTAAGGATGGGAACTGCAAAGTTATTCTGGGGGAAAGAAAAAAAACATATGAGACTATTATCTTAATCAGTCCACCTGTACATTTTGTATATTTTCCACACTGTCTATTTACAAGGCATCATCAAAAGCAGACTTGGTACCAAAACCAGAGATTTCAAACTTTTGTTTCTCTCACAGCAAACAGGTCTGTTAGATGTTTATCCCTTTGCTGCCCATTTGTTCAGCCTCATGAAATTTGTTTTGAGACCTTTATTGCTGCAGATGGAAGCTTGTAATTTTCTTCTGTCTTTCTTTTTGTGTAAATTGTACCCTTTCAGCTTGCGAACAAAAAGAAGGAAAAGGGAAGCATTTGCATTAGTATTTAGCAAGAAGATCAAACGATCTTCAGTCCTTCTAGGTAGACAGCCTATACACATCTTTTGAAATTTCACCTTAGAAAAACACACACACACAAAATGTATTCTTTTATAAGTAAATGGCAATGATTATGGAGCTTATATAGTCATTTAAATGTGTACCAGGAAGGCAGTTCACATTAATTTGGGAGGTTTACATTAATAGGTCTGATTTTTTCTTTCAAAGAGGATGTGCATTACTTTTCCCCTTTGAAAAGCAATTCATTTAATTTCAAAACGTGATTCTGATTTACTGAGAAAATAAAAAGCAGGGAGAGAATAGACAGTGCGGAAGGTGATCAATTAAGAGATTAAGCATTTTGCAACACATGGACGCATCTGCATTTTATTCTAATAGCAAGGCCATCAGCTCATTTTCAGGGGACTGCCGCCTACTTCAGCACAGTCCTCAGATCAAAGTGAGCACGTCTGCCCGCACTTTCTAATCTGAAAAAGGGATGCTAATTTAGCCTCCTTAATGTGTGGTGGTGAGAGACTCCTTCAATTAACTGAATTCTATAGCTAGGGGGAAATAAAAAGATGCAGAGAGAGTTGGTCTGGAAAGGCAGCATTTCTCATTAAATCAAAAGGTCCAGTATTCATTACCTCACGCATCTGAGGCTAAACACTAAAAACATAGAGCATCAAAGGAGGCCATGATGGGTTAAATAGAGACTATAATCTAATTAAAATATTACATATGAGTAAATAGCTCTTTGATATTCATCTAAAGGTTCCATTAAAGAAATAGGTGCTTGAGATTTGTATTATGGGGGGGATTATCACTTTTAAGTATGGAAAACAAGTTTGGGGGCTCTAATCAGAACTGCTTCAAAGTGTCATCATGTTTGTGATCCATTTTTTGTTTGTCTCGGGACCAGTAGTGCAAAAAAATAGGAAATATTGAGGAAGGTAATCAGGAATTGAAAAGATACTGGATTATTTGAGTTTAACCGTGGCACCAGGTGCAAGCAAAGGGAAGGAGAAGTGGAAAATGTAATTTAATTAATTGCTACCTCTTAAACGGAGACCAGCATACACTTTCCTCCATCCTTCAGATGTTGCATTGGCTTCATATATTGTCCACATCTTAATTTTGTGGATATACAGGGTATTTATGATATAAACAACTAAATATAGTGGGACAAGAATAAATGTCCTGAGATTTGCAGATACTTTAATAACGTTATGAATTTCTTGGCTCTTTTCATCTTGTTTTTTAAGTGAGTGGCTCACTGCTATTCTTAAAAACTCACAACTGTCATGCATCTTGGCTTGAAAATAGGACCACGAATGTCGGAAAATCAATGTAAATTTAATTTGAAAACTGGAAATTGAAAACTTTAGGATGGGAAGAGTGAATTAATTTGTATTGCACGCTTCTGAGTGGATTTCTTTGATAAGCAACTTTCTGCAATTTAAAACCATTTAATCATTTTAAATATACAATGCAATGTGCTGCTTCAATCTCAGAAGAATTTCAACTAATTAGACGAAAAATTGCAAATGTACCCATCACACAACATCCAAAGAAAAGCATTTTATATTTCCCCTAAAGTTGTATGATTATATATAGAAACTGGATTCTCATATGCAGTATACACTCATAATAAGAGAGCACAATAACATGGTGTGATCTGCTTGATATCCAATGACTAATGTGATACTAATGTATTCACCCAGTGCAGAAAGTTGAAGAGAGAGCTACTTTGTTTTTAAATATTCACTTTTCTGTTTTGGTTCTCACATACAGGACCTGTAGGCTTCAGGGGGCTGTCACTTCTAAATGAAAGTCAATCAATCTAATGACATCCAGCAGAGAAAAGGAACGCATGCTCGACACTGCCACTTCACGGGATGGCTAAGAAAGTCATATGCTATTCTATAGCCCATGAGAAATCTTCCAGGTCCTTACTTCATCATTATTCCCCAACACTTACACGGAAAACCCATGTATCTTACAAAGGTTATGCTGTATCACAGGGTACATCTGAATTCCTGTATTTTTGAAAAATCTCAATCTGTACATGTAGTATACAACATTTGAAAAACTTACACGCAGTATATAATTTAGAATTAAGTAAATATTTAATTATACATCAACAAATTAGGACTTAATAATCAACACCAAGGTAGTGAGTTTACGGGTGCCATTGTCTGTGTGTTCTAGGACTGCAAAAAGTGCCTTCACTTCAAATAAGTGCTTAGAAATGTTGCCTCAGCATCTTGAAGAAGGATATTTCATGTGCAGTTCCTGTAAAAAACATCCTGATTTCAAATCCCAGATTGATTATATGACACGTAAGGCTCTGAAATTGGCTACAACTTGTTTTTCCTCCTCATGCCTCTTCTGTAGCATCTCCAGTCTTGCCAGCTGTGACAGATCTACATCCTCCAGGTACAGAGCATGCTCACCATAGCCTTCCTTAGCTACTTTCTGGTTAGTCTTCGGCTGCAGGGGTGGTTTGGGTTTTGGGATGTTTTTGGCGTATTCCAAAGCCTGCAATATAAAGATAGCGGTGGCATTAATTATTCCAGGTTCACTGCATTGCTTTCAGATGTTAGACATAAAATATCCTATATTTAAACAACTTATCCGCTTTAATCACATGAGAGACCTAAGTGTTAGGAATATAGCAGGGCTGGATGTCCATATGCAATGGTATCTGTTCTGTCATTTCTGTTCATATGAGAAATGCGAAGTCACATCATCCTAAGCAAGCTTCCACATGCAGTTCCCCATCTACAGGAACTCATCTTACAGTGAATTAAGGCACTGAAGCGGACAGGTGTTAAGGCGACCGATTCCAGCTTTTTATTCTGTGTTGAGCGATATTTCACCTTTCTCCGGGGAGCTACATCCGTCTTCCCACTAGCCACAGCGTTATGCGTCGGGAAAGGGGGATTTTGACTCATCTTCTTGTTCTGTTCCCTGACCAGATCCGAATACTGCCTCTGCCGTTTCATTTTCCCGGCCTGGCGTCAGGGAAAAGAAATCAGAAAGCAAGCAGTGGAAGATGACAAAGGGATTTAATTAGCAAGACCATATTCTCTCACAAGAGTCTTCTCATTGTCTGATCTCTAGTGCACCCAAAACAAAAATGTTCTCTGTGTTCTCATTATTTACACATTCACTTTGAGTCCACCCTTTTGAGACACAAAATTTTAGAAACAAAAACTGTTCCCAGACACATTATTTTTTTGAAACTCAAACTGAGGTCACACACTGGCAAATTAATAGGGGACTCCGTTCCATTTCACAATGCCCCACTCTCATTTGTGTTGTAAATTAATTGCAATTCACGGGAGGATAATAATAATAATTATACGAAACTGTTTTCTTTAAATTCATTCAAAAAGTACTTGCATTGCGGTTACCTGCACCATTTAGACCATTTCATAACCTAATCACTGAGGACTGAATGAAATGGGAAACAGGTGGAAAATAAAATGAATACTATGCCAAACTTTTTATCTTTCATCTAGAATTATGTGATTGAACCTTTAGATGCAGCTGTTCACAAACCTTTTTTTTTAATGAATACATACTGTACTGTACTCTATAACTTTGGATTTGATTTCAATGAAAGTTTTCAATTCTGAATCCTTTTCCCTAGTATTTGCACACCAGAAGGTCTAGTATACTAACACATGGCAAAGCTGCACAGAGATTCATTAAACCGAGGTCAAGATGAAATCAAAACTTTGTCAATAATCTGGCTCAATTGCTTGGTAGTGGCTTTATCACACACTTCTTCATGGTTTCACCCAGTGGCATGAAAAAATGGGTCTGGCCACAAACTAAATCCAGTCCTAAATGGTGGCTCTGCAGTCTCACTGTCCTCCAAGCCATTAGGTTTTCTCATCACCCTGCACGTCACCCGTTGGGATAAACTCAATACACACACACTAGATCTGAGACACGAAGGAACGTAATGAGCAGTTATCAATATTATATTTAAAACTACCATTACGAACATTACTGCAAGATGAGAGAGGTGACAGAAAGGCCTTTCTACTCTCGTAAACCTCACGAAGACCTTTTATGACCTTTGTTGCATTAAATAAATCACAGGCATTCGTTTAAATTCATGATACTTACAGTCTCTTCGGACACCAGGTTACTTGGTCCAAGGCCTCCCAGCTTAACGTCCTGCTTGAGAGTTCTGTAGTCCTTTAATGTGTAAGCCTTTAAGAAAATAAATCCAGAAAGTAAGTCAATAAATTGTATTTAAGGGGATATTATTAGTTATGTTATGCATGCTGCATAGAATCATGTTGCATTTCAGAGCACATCACCCTTTATTGTTTTGTTTTATTGATTTTTCATATATTTGTTTCTTTAAACAAGGCACGTTGCTCATAGTTATAAATGTATCACCCGGACTGACTTTGAACGTCTTCAACTGCAAAACAAAAACAAAATGTTGATTGAAAACGTTTCTTCACAAATAGATCTCTTGGCACTTAACTGAAAAACTGGACATCACTAAAGAATGAGAAACAGCAATTTCAGAAAACAATATTTAGTGACATGGCTATTGATCAAGGAAGACTTGGTAATTTCATTTCCAGAATTGTAAGGCATAGTGGAATCCGTCACGTGCTGCACTGAGCAGTACCTCTGGACAGACCAACCACTAATCCCTTGTGTTAGCCTGCAGAGCACTGAGGCTGCAATACACAAGCAGTACAAAACAAAGGGGGTAATTATTTTAGATCAGACTGTCTCCTTTAGGGTTTTAACAAGGCCTCTAAATCGGCCATTGGTCACGGATACTGTAAGATTTGTGTTACTCTGAGCTGTTACCCCTACGGTTCCAATGCTATTAGTGTACAAATGCATCCTTAAATCTCGTCAGATATAATGGTGGGGAATCTCAGTTAGAAAGTTCCAGACGCCCAAAGCAAAAATGGCTTAAAATTTCTGAAGTGCCGTGGGGACAAATTCAATTATTTTATCAACTGACATGAAAAAATGGGCTACATTTAAGTATTGGAAAAGTAAAAAACGAAACACTTAAAACATTTAAAAAAGACAAAAAAGGACTGTTTTTTATGTGTTATGGTTAAAAATCAAAACAAGTGAATTATACACTGCCTTTTATACCATAATTACTGATTTGTTAATAATCTCTGTGAATTAAAAGAATAGTACAGTATGTAAAGATGTTTGCATTTTACAAATTATTCCATTTAAAGACAAAAAAGTTATGGATATTTATATTTTATATTGAAATAATTATATCAGAAGCTTCACAACATTTACTGAAAATATATATATAATATATCATATATAAATAAAATATTGAAAAAACACAATGAATGTTGAATTAGGCTATTGAGAAATGAACTGTGAGATGAAGAGATTCAGAAAGGAGTGTTCAGTGTGTCACCTTTGTTCCAGTTCCACATCAAGGAGAAACAATACCCCAGTCAACGAATCAACCTTTTCTTTTTCATAATTACCAAATAACAAAATTTAGTCCTGATTTCAAATTTCAGATAGATTGGGATCATAGTTCTTAATCTACAGGGTTGTCGTGTGATCTAAAATATACACTGGAAACCTCAAGACCAAAATATTTATGTACATCTAAGCTGTTGAAGCTGTTGAAGTACAAGAATTTGTGTGAAATTTTTAGACTGCTCAGGAAGTCCAGCAAATAGCAAAAAATAGTCACATTACAAGCACGTTTGCATCTTAGAAGCTTTGCACTTATAAGCCTTGCACTTGAAAGACAGGGCTTTCTTTTAATCATATTATAATCTAATGCTGTCAGGATAATCTGCAGTGGCTACGTCTCATGTCGTCACTTTATAGCAATTAACTACGTCTTACATCACTCGTACAATTAACTTAGTTTACGTGTGAAAAAAAAAAATTGTCAGCATGGATGTTATATAAGTAGATACATTTCTGAATGGGTCACATTTTAGATCCATCTGAATGAAATGAAAACATTTATTTTTCTTCCCTAAACTGTTCCTTTTTCTTTGGTGCATGATCAGATTTGCATCGCTCGTCCACAGAGAGCCTGATTAGTGGCACTTGGCCACCGTGGACTGTGGGCAATGATCTTTGTTGTGTTTTTCACTGGAATAGGACGTACCATGCAAAAAGGGCCATCTCCTACCTCTCTTTATTGTGCTCAAATTACTCAATCCAAAGCTTAGAAAAGTCATTACTTGTTCTGAATCCTTCTACCAGGATTTTCTTTTCTTTTGCTTGCTTGTCTTTGTCAAAGACTTACATTAAGTTACTCAAACAAACTATTGCACAAATACTGCAAGCTTGACTAAGGAACAAAGAAGCAGATGATGTGTGAAAGCTAGCACATCTGTGGCATATCATGAGTCTTAGTAAGAACAAGCTTCAGTTTGTACCACCTTGTATCAAAGTATAGTGACGGAAGTTGAATCAGCAGCACAGGAGCAGCTTCCAGATTGTGCTACATGTACTGTATAACAGGGGACCAACAACTCCTCAATTGTATAGATCCATTATTAAAATTGTGATGGGGAGGAAATTATTTTATGTGTTAAAGTGAAGTGGGTGGTATACCACACCAATTACAATGTGTCCTGTATGGTCTCGGGAATATTGTAACACAGTGGGCAACTCTCTCTTGTCTCATAAATGGTGAGCTGTGGGTCTGAGTCCCCACTCTTGTTCCCGTGAGCAAGGTGCTCCAGTGCTCCCAGCTGCGCGAACGGGGTCCTGTTTGGGGGTAGGCCCTGCGATGGATCAGTGGGGGGAGGTTCTACACAATCAAATACAGGCTCGACCGCCAACAGGTGCAAGGCAGGATCCACCCTGGACAGTGTCCCAGTCCTCCTGGGCCAGTTTCCCAAGAAGCCAGTTAACTTACCAGCATGACTCTGGACAGTGGGAAGGAACCGGAGCACCCTGGGGGGAGCCCAGACAAACACGGGGAGAACGTACAAACCCCACGCAGACAGACAGCACCCCAGGAACTGAAGCCAGGGCCCAAGTCCTGCCAGGCAGCCTTGCGAGCCACTGCTCCAACGCGCTGTCCATTCATCCATGCTGCCAAATAAACTGTAACACTGTATCTGCTGCAGGCTTTCCCCTTCTCCTTCAAATGCATATCATACATTTAGTACGATAGAGAGAATTAAGCTCAATAAAATAATCAACAAGATATATTCAGAGGCATTATTTACAGCATTAATTTGACGAGTAACTAGCCCAGTAAGAGTGCAGTTTTAATTTACCAGGAATATGTATGTAAATTAAGTAGCTATTAATTTTAGTGATGCTTCGAAAGCTTCTCATCTAACTCTGGCACTACAACAGTCCCTTAATCACTGCGGCAGCAACTTTGTTAGATTATTAAATCAATCTCTTTCTTAATTTATCACAGTGACTAAACAGCATCTAATTAGGGAAAGGCACATGGTGATCACATTTAACTGTCACTTTCTGATGTGTTTGTGTAACTACGAGAGTTACATTATCCCACTGGAGGTTGGTTAGACTTTATAGACGAAACAAAATTAGTTTTGAATTGATTTCAATCTCCTTCCCGCTGACTCACACTTCTTTATGCTACCTTTAGCTCACACTGGCTCAGAGGTGTGTTCTACTACAACGGAGCAGCATGCTGATGCAGTGGTCCGCATTGCTGCCTGGCAGTGCAGGGGCGCTGGGTTGGGAACCTGGGGCGCTGTCTGTGTGGAGTCTGTCTGTTCTCCTCATGTTCACATGGGTTTCCCTCAGGGGCTCCGGTTTCCTCCCACAGTCCAAAGACATGCCGGTAGGCTAACGCGCCTCTGGGAAAACCGGCCCCGGTGTGTGCGGGTGTGCCTGGTTCAGTGTCATGTGCTGGCTAGTAAACAACAGGTTGCTTATTGCATTCTTACTTAAAATACAGACTGAGTGTAGGTAAATTGGGAGTCACAGGGCAGTGGCAATATATCTGGCACAGGTATACAGTAAGGCAAATTCAAATCAGACTAAACCTCATTACTAAGCAAGATGGTCACTCCAAATATCCCACTTGAATAAATACACACACAAACTCACTTTGTAGTTTGCTCTCTCCCTCAGCTGTCTCTGTTTCTCCATCTGCGCCAGGTAGCCCTCGGAGCTGCTGCGGTGCATGGAGTTTTTCTGCTCCTCTGCAGCTTGGCCAGCGAGCTCAGAGTCCCTTCCTGTTGTTTGCCCAATAGGGGGCAGGACTGCACAGGACTTCGACCTCTGGGACCCTGGAGTAAAAGCAGGCCCTTTGGCTTCTTGACTAATCTGCTCTTTCCACCAGTCACCTGGAGAGAAGGCTGGGCATTGCCCATGAGGCGGCAGCAGTTGTCTGGGTACGGGTCTGCAACACAGAGAAAATAGCTCTTACTGCATCACCATATGAGCCTTCACAGTTGTTAAGGCACCCTTAGACGGACTGAAACATAACTCTCAGGTAAGGTTAACAGCAACAACTCATCACTGTGAGAGGTCAACAGTGTAAAAGAAAATTATTAGGTTTTAATCAATGCACTGTATAAAAATAAAAAAAAGTAAACATAAATAACTGCACCACACAAAACATGTGTCTGACTCAAAAAATGCAGGTAATTTTGTACTGTGGTTTACTTCCATGACAAACGATTCTCTAACCCACGTCTGAACTCAGTGCAGAACCCTTTAGCCTGCTCTCTGCACTGAAAAACAAACCAGCCACTTTTCTGTGCTCCTGCACACCTACAAGAAAAACCCACCTCGCTCCCTCCAATCTTGTGTCACCGGAGTCCTGCTGATACCAGGGAGCTTCCCCCTTCCTTGGCCAGTGGCTTCCATGTTCCTGCAGGAATGCAGGGCTGTGGAGTCTGGGGCGGCCCAGGGACTTGTTGTAAGGAGGAAAAGGTGGAAGCAGTGCAGCCCTGGGAGACCAGGAGTACTGCTGAGGACTGTGGCTGGAGAACATCTCACCCGGATTCGTTTGGTCTCCAAAACAAGCACCGACCTGCGGCCTGTCTTTCCCTGGGTAGCGGTGGGGGGAAGTCAGGTTGACGTTCATGTGCTGGTGATCCTGATTCGCAAAAGGCACAAAATCAGCAGACGTGTTGAGGTTGATGTTCAAGTTCACCGTAGGGGCCGCCTGGGAGAGGGGAGTTCTGCTGGACCAGTGTGCAGCAGACACCACGGAGGAGTGGGAACTGCCTGTTTTCAGCGTCCTGTCAAGCTCATCGATACGTAAAACACCTGCATGACCCATATCAGGGGGGATTTCACGTATTTCTGGGACAAATCGCTCTTCGGGTACCTTCAGCAGTGTCTTCTGGCTCTGTCTTCCACTGGGGATCTGGAAGCCAGGCTCGTAGGAGGCCTTTGCACTGGCATCGTGATGCTTTCCTTGCTTCTCTGACATTCTTTTGTTTTTGTATCCCTAAGAAAGACAATATCTGATCAACACACAACGTGGTGAAGATGGACACACACATCAGGTAAGATTTGAAAGCCATATCTGCAGTTCTCAGGTTGAAATAAGACATTGTCATATGGTTTGTCTTCAAAAACAATATGTAGAAGGAACTTTTAGAAGATAACGAATGTGCATATTTATGGCAAGACATATGTATTATTTGTTGTCACTAAAGCAGACCAAGCCTTTTCTTCACCAGAACCTTATCAGTTTAAGTATTCTGGGGTTAAAACTGTGGCAAAACTGTTCCTGAGCAGGAGGATTAAGGAACCCAGTCTCTGCTCATTTTGGAAAATTCTGATTCAGCATATCTGGTTAATCTATAAGCATATCTTTGGAGATGCAAGGAAACCAGAGCAAGAGGGAAACAAACATGCAAATATGGGAGCACATGCAAACTCAACACAGAAGGTGCCACAGTCCAGAACCAAATTCAGGACTGGGTGTTACGGATTCGGTCAGAGAAACCGAAACCAAGTAGTGAACCCACTTGCGGGAGCTGACAGAGACGAGTCGTGATCCTAATACCGTAGCTGAAGGAGAGAGCCGAGAGTCCAAGGGAAGCCAGTGATCCAAACCGAGAGGGAGTAGCCAAAGCCAAACCGTAATCCAAAACCGTAGACGAAGGGGAGAACCGAGAATCCAAGGGAAGCCAGAGAACCAAACCAAAGCCGAGCCGTAATCCAATAGACGTAGTAGAAGGGGAAAAACCAAAGTCGGAACCAGAACAGTACGAGGAGGTTGAAGGCGTAGCGCAACTAAGAAGCTCGAAAGGGAAACCAATACTGAGCGAGGATGTAGGGAAAGACTAATGCCAGATGAGACGGAGGTGTGGTGGTGAACGCGTACCGTGATAGGTGGACTGATGAACTAAGGCTACGCCTTCTTCTGCCTCTTTCGTTGCCGAGAGGCAGGGATCGTAACACTGGGGCTGTGAAGCATTTAATTAATTGCTACCATCCTGTACACAAAAATACACATCTGAATTTTTTAAAAAAAAACATGAAAAAGACTTACTTTTTGTGGTGGGTGATGTAATATATATATATATTTAGTAGTGAAATTAAAGCTTTCAAAAAATGCAATCAAATCATGATCTGTGATGGATACACTGTTTAGATTGCTTTTGTTAAGAGCCTGTAAAACAAACTACCAGCACTGGTACTTCCATTAGCATGATTAGCTAAAGAAGTCTCAATTTATTTCATATGCAGGATGACAAGCAAAATAATGGAAACTCAAGAGAAGATAACTGAATCTTATTATGAGCAGACATGAGACAGAGCTGCTCTGTGCAGGTTAGTAAACAGGAATAGGTCAGTGCTAATAGGATAAAGGTTCATGCACTCATATAAATATAGCCGAGGGTGGCAACTGAAGAAGATGACTCAATCAGAGCAAAGCATGTTTACAAAATAATAACTCCGAAGAGACTATTGTACGGTATGGTCGCTAATATTCCCTATCTTTCAGGATTGTCAAAACCTCCCCAAAAGGTGTAGCTGTGCAGTGTACCATAACTTTAATCTCTGATTCCACCACCTTCCACCCAACTATACAATTTCTTAAAATAATCCTTCATTCCTCTCTTTTGTGGAGCTGTCCAAAAACAGCTACAGTCAAATGAACTTCTTAACTCCAAGACTGCAACCCGTATCTGTCTGATATTAACCTATGGATGTAACAGAAAAAGAAGCATGCTTTGATAAGACCAAGGTTATGCTCATAGGTTACCACATCAACTTTGTAAAGTTGCTGACTTCAGTGTTGTTGTTGACAGTGCTGTAATCAAACCTGGGAAGCTACAAACTTTGAATGATGTGCTAGGAATCTCTTTCTTATATCTGCATGGCACTGCTTGATGGATCTTTCTGTCTGATGTTTAACATTTGTAAGTGTCTTTATTTAATCAAGATTAGACTCCTGTAACACCTTACTTTCTGAAGTACACTCTAAGGTACTAAACAGTTGTCTGTATGTCCATAAAACCAACACAGTGGCCTGAGTCCTATGTAAAAATGTCCAACTCTGCCTCAGCAGATTACTCCAATCCTCTGTAAATCGCTCTAGCTCCCAGTGAAATTTAGAGTGGGCTTTAAGGTTTTTCTGCTCACATACTTTAAAAGGCAGTGATTGGACTTCCTTACATATAATGGCACTGAATTGTCTAGCTCCAGACTATCTTAAGCACTTATTGCTTGAGTGTAGGCCAGCTCTTAACCTTACTCAGCTGAAGACCAGGCTCAGCACAATGGGCAGTAGAGATTCTCATGTGCAACACCATGTCAATAGAGCTCAAATCCATCAGAGACTCTGGGATGGCTGACCTTTTTCAAAACTCACTTAATCTTTCTCTTTATTAAAGCGTTTAATACATAGTTGAGTCTTACTCTTAGTTTCAACAAGTCAAATTCCCATACTTTTTTCTTTCGCTTCCATTTTGCTTCTTTTGCGTATTACATTTATTTTTGATTTTTGGTCCCTGTTGTAATAGCATTAATACTAAAATTACCACGGCCACAAAAATTCAATACATGAAATGTATTACATATATGCACATAAAGCTTACAATACAATTACAAAAACATGCAGAACCACCGAGCGAGATGTGCATTGCATTCTATAGTATGAAACAAATCTGCAATTTATTTGAATAACAGCCAATTCTGCCATTTAGGAGGAGAAACACTTACAGTCTTTTCATTGGATATGCATGGATTGCTCAGCATCTTCAAAACAATGATGCATTTTCATTCCCTCTTATCGACAAAATAAGATATTATTCTGAGACATGGGAGATTCCATTGTTTTCTGTGATGAAAATGGGTAGATAAAGCGTTCTTTTCTCGGACAGTCACAAACAGGTCAAAAACTGAGAGCTGTCCATTCAGCTCATCTAACCCATTGGACAGTTTGTAGTTAAATGATTCAAGAATTTCTTCCAGATCATGTGCTTCGACGACACCGCCCAGGCAGCTTGTCCCACACCCCACAGCCCAAGGGGTAGAGGAGAGCCTCCTGAGTGCGGTTTTAAAGCATGAATTCTGAGGTGAACTCAACAGCACCTGGCCTCAATGTGTGAATTTAAAATATGGCAGAAAGAATAATTAACAAGAAAAGTCATTAAGTCAATTAAGTCAATATGGTTTGCCCGATAAGAAAAGTTAGAATGAAGTCATTTAAACTTTACCGCCAGCTTCTTTGTTCTTTGTTGCCACATCTGCTCAGGGTCAAAGATGTCTTCATGGCTCTGCTGACTGCTAATGCTGCTGAGCTCTTCTGCAGCTCCAGGATCCTGTAAAAGGAACGACACATAATTCCTATGAGAGACTGTTTTCTCTCTGAGAAAAGAGATCCTGTTTTGACCCCAGTCTTATTTTTAAAATATTTTGCCGCTGCGACATTTATGTTTAAGCAATAGACTTTGTCCTGCATCCCATGACCAATATTTGATATCACATGAGTACTACTGTAAAAAAATAAAAATAAAATTGTGTAAGGATAGATTGAAACTAAGGTTCCCTGAATTTAAAAGGATGAAACGCACATTAGGTCAATGTCTTTGAATTCTAAGAGAAAAGATTCTGCTTTCCTAGGTATTTTTTTTCTGCACTATTCAATGCAAAAAAAAGATTCCACTCAAAAGCAAGGAACCTCTTTTCTGAAAGCACATACTGTATAGTGTTTTACAATGCATCTCAGCTCACAAAGAAGATTGCAAAATAATGTTCTTTTATCTCTGGAAGGGAAAAAACTGACTATCAATAGAAGTTAAATGAGTGATATAACAAATGTAGGCCTATAGCTTGTTTATGTACTGTAAATTATGTTGCCTCTCAGCTGCCACACCAAAAAGCTGCTTAAAGAAGAAAATGTTGTAAAATAAAGTCACAAAATAACTGACTTGTACAATATATATATATTCCTATCGTTTTTTTTCTATTTCTACAGGGATCAATTAAAAAAAAACACATCTGTGGTTTGATAGTTTTTATTCTTATGTGTTGGCTGCTTTTTTAACACCACAGATCAAAGCACTTGACAACATTTGCTTTTAATGCTGTAATGAAAATCATTTAGTTAACTTCTGGTCCCTTTGGTTGCTAAGAACTATCTGGGTTCAATCGATAATATTGACAGCTTGAAGAGTTCTTCAGTGAATACTACTAATTCTAAAAGTGCCTGTGAATAGGCTAAGGTCACAGAAAATCATGCTGTAGTGAGTGAATTAAGCTGTAATATATCCATCAATAAAGGGTTTGCCATGCTGATCTATCTATTTACTGAAAGGGCAGTTAGGCAGGGGACTAGGTTCACTGTGGGGCTAAAATCTTCAGCTCAAGTGTGTACAGATGAGAGGAAAAACCCTTTATTTGTCCTTTTGGTCATTCTTGGATAAACCAAGATGGTTTGTACTGTATTTAGTGTGGAGTCCAGCATTTTAAATTTCAAGCATTTTCAAAATTAGGAATGTACAAAATTCTTGACTTCAGGTGTGTACATACACAAATCACACTGGTTTGCATTGAAGAGCTTTAGTTACAATTTAAAACATTTTGTTTTATCCTACAAAATTATATAAGAGCTAAAACATTTTATATTTTCACAAAATATCCCCAGCGATCCACAAACTGAAAAATGACAGTGTGCAGTTCTCCTCACAAGGGTCACATTCACAGCTATAGATTGTTTGACTTTGTTTAGAAAATCAACACAATCTGAAGGCTAGTCCTTTTCATACTTTCCATACTTTATTGCTGCCGTACAAATACCACACAAGCCAAATAAAATAAAAATACTAAGAAATGTATCTTGTGTAACTTAACATCTCTATACTTGATAGTTATTGTAGGTGTAATCTAGTCTAGTTTTACCACAAAGGGTACTTGTACTGTCTTACTGTATGACAAGGACCCAGACATACCGTTACACTTAGTATAAGAATTATTAGAATTGTATTACTCACTTACTGTACATGACAGTCATATAAAATAGAATTTGAATTTAGAAAACATAATTTATTAAGACTTTTTTTTTAAAATCACTCTAAAAACATATCAATATTCGCTACTAGCAAAATGAGTGGGTTAAAAACCCCAACCTGCTAGCCAGACAGGCAGGGCTCCCCTGCGGCCCTGTATTGAATAAAATGGATGGATGAGCCACATAGTGGTGGCGTGGTTAGCATAGCTGCCTCGCAGAGCTGGGGCCCAGGGTTCAATTCCTGGGGTACCGTCTGTGTGGAGGTTGTATGTTCTCCCCATGTTCATGTGGGTTTCCTCTGGGTGCTCCAGTTTCCTCCCACAGTCCAGAAACCTAATGGTAGGATAATTCACCTCTGGGAAACTGGCCCTAGTGTGGGTGTGTGTGTGTCTGATGGAGTGTATCCTGCCTCACGCCTGTTGCTTCCCAGGATAGGCTCCAGCTCCCCCGCAACTCTGTATTATAAGGAAAAGGAGACACGGACTGATGGACACCCCCAACTTGTGTGGAGGAGGGGGAGTGTGAAAAAGACATTGTGTTATTGTCTCATTTTATCGCTAGGCAGAAAAATCATAAAGCCATAATACAATAACACAGACATACCTATCTTTATAAAAGATTTACATCATATCTAAAAAGAAGCATTGACTCAGATTTCTCTTTGCATAACAGCTGAAGTGATAGCAATTATTTATTCATCATGGGTGAAAGTTGAGGGGTGTGAAAGCTAAGAAATATACATGCATTTTCTACTGACACGACTGTTGGCCAGCGGAGGCTGGATATCTACAAGAATAGCGCCTAACGACCATGCTAGCTGTCACAGTGAAAATACCGACTCGCCGCACAGCAGAGCTGAAGAAGCCCACTGACGTTAGTAGCTAGGGACGTCTTCAACTGGGGTCCTTGGCACAAGTCGCTCATGCCCCTAATCAGGTGGGTTTCACCTCTCTGTGCGGCTGCACAGAGGCAGCTCCGGGCACAGCGCAGGGCGGCCAGGCTGCCGCGGCAGGTGTTGATGGCTTAGTGGCGGGCACCGCACACCTCCTCATTATCTCTTCGAAAGTGAAACAGGGCTCAACCTCTGCCCACGCTCCTGCGCGCGGCTTTTGTGAACCATTTTAATAATCCCAATCAAATTGAGAAAATGATCAAATGAAATTGCATTTCGAGCATCATAAGCTGTGTAATGTCTATTCTGCCGAATTGAGGCCCGTAATTGCTTCTCCGCAGACAAGACACAACAAAGCCGGCAATCATGGCATGTCATTCTCCCCTGGACTTGGAAACACAGCTTTGCAATGAAGACTTCAAAGGCTTGTGGTTCTTGAATTGCATTTGGCTGCTATTGTTGCAGCCCAGGCAATCCTGATTAGGTGTTTACACTGAGGGAAGGCGTACAGTAGCGGAGAGCCCGAGAGCCTTGGTCTAGAGCTATTAAGAAATTGTACATTATGTTCCTAGCTTTGAAGTGAGGGTCTGAGGGATGGCAAGGAACTCAGGCTGAGTGCAGTGGCAGAAGATTGCTCCACTACTTCTGTCTTTATCAAAGGAGCTTGACAGGATCTCATCATGACTTTGGACCCACTGGCAAAAGTTGGAGCATTACGAGATTGTGTACGTTTAATAACATCCCTAATTATCAGGGTGTAATGAGCCCGAAACTCCTGCCAAGGACCAAATAGTGTTTCTCCATAACCCAAAGAGCTCAATCAGATGTGGTCTCTAAAACCATTAGAAGTAGTGATGACTTCTATAAAATTGATGTGATTGTTTCCAATATGTTTGCCTTCATCTACTGCTTTTTAAGATCACAGTTCAAATATCAAACTAAATGAAACATGGATAATAAGAGAATAAGAGAAAACAGTGGAATGTTACTTAGAGAAATTGAAGACACTTAAGTGCGCTTTTTTTAGAAATTAAAAAAAGGATCACAGTTTGTGACAACTTCCCAGCACCTTTTATAGTATTTCTAGTCACCTGGCTGCAGTTAGATGTCTATGGAAACAAGTCTAACAGGTCATTCAGTATTTAAGAATGCTGATGTTATAAGTTCACCTTGATTGCCTTGAATTCTCCTGAGACAGGAGGCCAGTTTTTGGTGTAGCAAATCCAACGTGCTTTAGACATATGTTAGATGTGGGAGGAAGTCTCCTTTTCTCTTTAGGAACCCCTAGGTCTGCTGTATCAGCCTACGTTAACTTTAGAATGGAAGACAAAAACATTCATTCACATGCCATTGAAGTGGGATTTTTATATGTGCTCATTTCATGTCCTTCTTAATCTGTAAAAACCCCTCGCGTGGTGTGTTTTTCTACCTACAGTGTATAAACTAAATTCTGCTGCTTGCGGATCAGTCTGGTTTTAACACTCTTTAGCTGGCTCACCGGGTCTTGAATGGCCTAGCTCCAATGTACTTTATTTGACAGATCTGCTTGAGGGCCAAGACTGCTCGATATTTACAATTGACCCTAAATCACTTTGCATCCTCAAAACCAGATGGAATTCGGCGGGATAGTGGGAAGCTCACTGCTACACGCCAGTCCCAAGGAAAGGTGTGTCAGTATGCACTAGTTCTGGCAGCAGGAGCGCAGGTTCAGATTTCCACTAGGGATGCTGTTAAGGCTGTTGCTTGTGAACCTTGAAATTGATTACCCAGAACTCCTTCAACAAGCTCTGAATCGCTCTACATTAGTATATTAGTACCAGAAGTATCCATTCTCTCTCATTTTTATTTATTTTTACTGTTTTTTGTTGTTTGATATACATTGCTTTGGGACTCGTTTCTTAATGGTGCAACATAAAATACCATAAAATAGTATACCTATACACTCAAAGCATTTAAGCTTCAATATTTAGGCTTGGCCATAGAAAGCAATAGGAATTCAAGAGTGTTTTGAAAATAGGGTACTGTAGAAATGCATTTTTCCATTCTACAGAATGGACTGGAGTTTTAAAAGGCAGGGTTTTTGATCAATGATCAAGCTGTATTTACAGCTTTTATATTTCTCAATAAGAAAGGCAAAAGCCTTTTTTCCTCTAAAACATTGTTCATTGGGTTTTATTAATGATAAAAATGTGTACTATATTGCCCTATTCAATGTTAGGGTTATGATCAATTGCGAAAAGTTTCATAAAGTCTATTTTTTACTACTCCTAATAGCCTTCTCTTATAGTTTACAGGTTTGAGCTCTATCTTGTACATCTATTTTTCAAGATCTCATACATCTATTTGGCACTAAACAAAATGGGACATGGCGATGCTTGTGAAATTACAAGAGGTATAGTTGCTGTGTGATGAGTAAACAGAATTACTACATATTGCACTGAAGTACAAATCTATTGGTATTACACAGAAGTGGCCTATTCAGCAATGCAATTTCATTCCACAATATAAGAGGCCAATTAAATACATCAGGTTGTTGCTCAAAGAACATAATTATGTATTTAAGTTCCAACTGTTCACTATAGTTTGATAAGCATGTTAATTTACCATTTCTGCAGAAATAATTCTTCAACCTTGTCTTGCAGAAAAACAAGATACACAGTCTCTGTAGGTTTTTGTTTTTGCATCTCCTTGGAACATTTAGTACAAGTGCTCTGGGCAATTGAAAGCACCATCACTTAAACCAATATATCACTTACTTTTTGAGCAGTGGCAAGAGCTGGCAGCAGCCTGGGTAATGCCATTTTCTGATGTACATGATCCACAATCATTTGTACGTTAATGCGCTGAAGAAGCCTTTTCTAAATGTGAATGGGTGACAGGAGGCCTCCTCCAGAACACTCCGTCTGTCTAAAAGACTATGCTTGGACGCTGGAGAGGGGAAGCTCTGAAAGCAGAGATCAATTAGAGACTGCAGGATACACAGTCTGGAAGTGGGAAGCTGTGTTGTTCTTTCAATACGGCAGCATAAGCACTACTTGAATATGTAAATGCGAACAGTAAGAAGCATTATGACACTGCAGAGCTCAGATGGGTTGGCAAATATTGAAAATGTGGCGAACATACATGCAATATACAACTATAGATGCTGCTGCTCAAGTACGCCCCCCTGTGCCAGGTGCTCAGATATTTAAGAGGCTATTGCTACCCATGTTACTCTATTTTGTTTAATAGCTGCCATTATTAAAAACAATCAATTCATAATGGGTACAGTATTGCCAGAGATACGTCATTTGCACTTGCCTTAGAACATATTATTAGAGGTATCAGAAGGTACCTCGTATTATAAAGTGCCACTTTAAATCTAATTTTCCAATTTACAGTAACACAAAGATCAACTCATTTCAGTGAGGGGGGGGATAACAACATTATATTTAAATAAAGCATGTAACTGTAAACCTTTTGATACAAGCCTAAAATCCTGCCTTGTCTTCATTGATTACTATTAAAGAGTGAATGCCTTTCCCGATCAGACATGTACACTGTATATAATAAAAAGGTAAATAAAGAGCTTCATCTACAAGGACTTTCACCTCAAAAGCACTTTCAAGAAAAGCAGTCCAATGTCTGCTCAATTATTATTTCTAGTTATAAAATAGAACAATTATAACAATTTGACACTGAAATTAAAGAGTTTGTTTTGTTAAATTTCATAAAGTAGAACAATCAAACTTTGTTGCTTGATCATACACATTTCTAAAACTAGAAATATTTTCCTCAGGGAAATTACTTTTCATAAAAAATTCAAGAAATGAGTGAGAAGGATTCTCACTTCTTCAACTGGACACACCTTAAAAATGGTTAAAAATAAATATCTGGATGATGTCAGAAATAGAAAAAGATGGGTAGACATTAAGATAAGAGTGAAATGTGTACGAATGTGTAAAATACGTTAAAGCAGACTCCAAACACCTAAAATGATTTAGTGGAGGAATAATCCAAAATACTAACCGATAAATCACCACATTATTATTTTAAGGAAATTCAGATAGGCATATTGTGACTAGATTGAGATAATATCAGCATCCCAGTGAGAGCGTAATAAATTTCTTTTCCTTCACAAATGCACACCAACGTCATCAACCTGTAGAAATATATCAACTGAAGCAGTTTTGGAAATCAACCAAGCATCTTGAACAGGCTTTTGAATTTCTGTACAAAGACTGTCCATCAGTACTGTGACACTATGGCAGTATGACAATCTTTCCTTTCGATTATCCACATACTGTATCTGTTGTGAATACATGCCTTATTGTGCCAAATGTCCTTGTGTAAGTCAAATGCGCACATAAAAGTGCTTACTCAAAACAAATCAGACCGATATAATTTAAGTTACATATCTGTGGGGCAAACAAATTTCTTTTGTTTCTTCAATTTCCACACTCGACAGACTACGAATGCAGGAGATTGGAGTGGGTTTTGTAATCTTTGCACGCCACCTAGTGCTTACGAAGAAGGACAAAAGCTCATCAAGGATTTTTGCTCATGTCAATTTGTCAACAGGCCTACCTGTGAAATAACTCAAGTTCTTTATTCCTCATTAAACACAGTGAGAGTATTTAAATAATTTAGAGACGATACTCCAAATTAGTATGTGAATGACCTTTAAAAACAGATAATCCACACCCAGTCTGAAAATGTGTTCATCATACTCTTCACTGTGTGCAGTTCCAATCCGCAGGCATAAATTCAACAGTACACTCTGAAGCTTGTCAAGTAAAAAAAAATAAACTTCTCATTCACCCAGGGCCTTGAACTCCTGAGGAGTTCTCACGTTAGCCTGAAATACTAGTATTTATTCTACTATAATAACAAGTCAGATGAAGTTAAGTCACCCTGTATGCTGGGACAAAACAACCAATTAGTCAGATTACCTACAGTAATAAGATAAGATACATTTCTTAGTAGAGAGTGCCGTCACTGTCGGATGTGTACATTATTCATGAACAACCGGGTCTAGTGGTACTTTCTAAACTGTATTGGTCAGTGTTTTGTGTACTTTGTCTTGTTTACAAATAAAACTTTGTGCAGTTTAAAAATACAAAATCCATTTCACAGAACTTTAATGGCAGGAAATATAGTCCTGAAGATATAACTTCCTGCAGTTTTCTGTTTCAGAATACCTATTGACCACCCTTAGAAAGCTAAATAAAAAGCCCAAAACATCTGCCAACAATGGCTGTTGTCATAACAATACTGTGAAAAGCTCTGAGAGCCTGCAGTGTATTTTATTTGAAGTGGGTGCATATGTAAAGGAATCATAGGTGAAGTAATCCCAGTCCTGTCCTTCCAGGTTTATAAATAAATAGCAGATTTACTGCAATTGTTATGGGCTTTTCTGTGTATAATTATTACTTAATAGTGCAGTAATAAGAAGGTAATTATGACATAAGTGTTCATTGTCATTTAACACATTATTTTGATGACATTAACGTTAGTTTGATATGATTACCGACCATTAAAAGACTGAGATTGCCAGTAATTTTTGAAAGAGCACCCAGTGCTTTTTTCCTGTACACTATTGTTCAAAATGCAGTAAACATTTGCTCAGCTTTTTCGATTGTTCTGCTGTCTCTCAAATTATTTTCAATGTCCACAGAGTACCTACTATAATGAATAGTCACCAAAGCAGACTTCATACCTACCTGCTAATATGTAAATCCTATCACTGCTGTAAAGCCTATGTTAATGTACATTAGGAAAAAAGACTGAATTTTGAGCCACTGATGAGAATTTAAATAACATTTTGATTACTGATTTCTGAGTGTCATGCTTAGCTAGTATTTCCATATTTTATCAAAAAGAGAAGGAAAATAGCATAAGGGAAGTTCCAAAATTCACTGGAATTTTAGTATACTGTGCAGAACGTTTTGCTCTGCCCAGTATATATTTTTGTGACCCACCTGTCTTTTGCTGCCTTGCTCAATCTTCTGACTGTGCACCTGCAGGTATGATCTTTGATGTGCTGGCCTGACACCCAGGGTAACCTTGTTCTGCTCCACAAAATCCTCTTGGGGTCTTGACTGCTTCGGATTTGAGTGGTGAGAACTGCGTTTTGTCTTCCTGCGGTTGCTGTACTGCTGCCGATCTGTAACATCTCTGCTGCGTGCAGAGTCGTGCCGCAAGAAGCGCTCATACTCTTGCCTGTAGCGCTCATTCATGGCTTCATAACGCTCCTCTCCTCCAGCCAAGGACTCTTCGCCTTCGCCCGGTGGCTCTGCTTGTTCTTGTTTGTACAGCACTCTGTTTGTCTCGGGTCTCGTCCGTGGCCCATCTTTTCGTGCTTGTGCTTCTTCTAGTGATGACCCCTGTTTAAGAGCCTTATTGTGGTGCAGATGTTTCTGGTGGTGTGGTGTTGCTGGGTGCTTCAGTCTGGTGTCAGGAAGCTTTTCTGCCACCTTTCCAGACAAACTTACTGTAGGAGCTTTTTTGCCATTTATAGCATATTCCTTGGCTGTGATCTGACCCCTGTCTTCCTCCTGCCAGGGTTTATGAAGACAGTCCTCAGAGATTTCATAAGAATCTAGGAATAAATCTTCCTCTGGCTCCTGTGAAAGCTGGTTCCCGACGGCACCGAACGTCTGTGCTCCTTTCACAGTCTCCCTCCAGTTAGGATCATAACGAAGCTCGGCATACTCATCCTCCAAATGGGCCTTCCTGCAGAAAAACAGAAACAGCAATGCAATATCACAGCAGAAAAATGAGGAATTTCACTTGGCAAAAAATAGATCATGTCATCAGAATTATTAACATTGCAGAAAGAAAGATGGCCAAGTAAAACACTAAAAAGCAGCAACAGAATATAGCTGCTTAATTACTGAAGGTTAAGATAAAATCCAAACACTACTGGCTCTGTGGCAGCCAGGCAATCTTAATGTTGGCCTGTGAGCCTACAGCTTCTATCTTTGTGTTTCTCAATAGCAGGAAACTCGAGAGACAATTTTATTAAATCCTAATGCCCTAAGAGGGTGACCAAAGCCTATGTCTAAGAAATAAGATTTTTAACCTGCAATTTTCAGCTAATGAAACTGAATTAAAGCATTGATGTCCCTGAATTGAAATTGCTACCTAATGTGCTGCCTTTAACATCACAGAAAAGATCTCATTAAAATAATTAGTGGAGTAGTCCTTTGTTGTCCTGCTCTGAATCCGATGAGATGCACTTCTTGGCTTATATTGCCATATGTAGAAATACCTGGGTACAAAACACTTAAGTAAATGAGGTTAAAAGGGTAGGGAATTGGTTCATAATGACTGAATTGAAATGAGCCTGACACATTTTAATTGACATACAGCTGTGTGTATGTCATAAATGTGCAATAAAACACCATAATTATTGATCTCAATTTCGGTTTTTTTCATCTAAATGCGTACAATCACACAGATGGATAGAAGGGTTTCAGAGGATGCTGAACGTAAAACAAAAAATAAAATTGAAACATGTTTTGGTGCTGTATACAGTACGAGGCATATGGTTCTGCTGAGCTTTTCCTTCTGCACATCTGAAGGGCTTCTGTCCGTGAGGTCCTGAAATCCATGGTGTTTTCAAAATCATTTTAAACCTCATGTACAACACAAAAACGTTTTTTTGTCTTTTTTTAGTCTAACAGACGTGG